CCATTTTTTACAAGGCAGCGCTTGAGTGCTGCAGACCCATGAGGCCGGCAGGCAGCATGTGTGAGGCTCTTAGCTGGACAGAGATGTTGCATTAGCAGGCTGTTACCTCTTCACAGGCGAATGGGAGATCAGCGGCGAGACTCCAGACGACGAGACAAAATACACAGAGGACGCCGGCAGAAGGTCACAGTGATGAGAGGATGGCCGGGGGACGAGCCAGGCCTCCGCACGGGCCTGGCTCAGTTGTAAGGCTGATGTGGCTTAATGCTTGCGGGGGAAGGGGGGGCAGTGGATGTTGGTCTGGAGTCAGAGCACCTCCTCTTGGTCTGTGGAGGCACCGCTGAGGAACGCGCCGCAGTCATATCAAAAAAAAAAAAAAAAAAAATACCGACCACTTGAAGTTTGTTTGTGGTCTCTGGACATTTGCGTGGTGGTCTGCTGCGTTCAGCGGGACTCTTAAAAACTGGATGAAAGTTTTTACTGCTTTTTGAATTTCTCATTACGCGGGGAGCTGTGACCACGCACACACATTTGATACGCTACCACACAAACATCCGGTCAACATGTTGCCTTATTGAAGTAACCATTTATCTTGTGTGCCCATATGTAAATTTTGTCTCCAGGACAATTGTGGTGCAAGCGCATGCTACTCAACCAAACCATCGTTCTGACCAATGGCCGCCAGTATTTTTGAGTTAAGAGCAAACCAAGATGTGATTGACAGCACTGTTGGCCAATCAGAATCTGCAAGGTGCTGCCCTGTTACAATAGCCAGCGGTTTTATGCTGTCTTTATAACCAATCGCCCCCAGTCATGTCACCCAGGATTTGAGTAGAGAACAGGAAAGGCGATCCTACGGCATCGTGGAAATACATCTTCCATAAACTTTCTAAACTGCACAGGTTGAAGAATTGTTTTGACTTGTGTGATGAAGCGATTTCTGTTGGCGTTCTTTGGCTCCCATGTCAGCGCTTATAAAATAAGTCACAGCAGACGTCAAGTGTTAACGTGTCATTTTTTATTTGCAGTTCTTTACATTTTAGAAAAAGAATCCAAGGATTTTGCCTCCTGTGTGTTTCCGTCTGGCCTCTTCGTGGTCCATGATGCCAGCTGAGGTGGTCAGCACAATGTATCTGTGGAAACAAGTCAGAAGGTTACCAATCAGGAAACTTCATCTTTCATAAAGACCACAATTATCGGACAAAATGAAAACAAGCCATTTGACTAAATGTCTTTATTTTAAAAGGAGCAAGATAAATGGGCCTTCCAAGTCATCTTACACCGGACATACTTAAAAGCCACAGAATACCTTCACATTCAGCAATTTAATCAATTGTGTTTACTAATTGGCCGTTTTTTAAGTTTACCCGAGGAGCAACTGCTATGAAAACCTACTTTAGGGCCTTTTATTTCAACTGTAGGAAACGACACGGAGTGGTGGGACCAGTATTAAAAGATCAGGTAGATGTAAAATCTAACAGCCTTGAGTGATTCGCAAAACTGCAAAATGAATAAAACTATTAACAATCTACACTTTAAACAAGTACCAGCTGGTTGTGATGGTTTAGTTCTACACCGACATAAAAGCTTCGGCAGCGTAATGGTAACTGGTCAGACAAATTAGTAATCAGCTTCAACATATTTTCCCCCCCATTGTTTCAATTTTAGTAGCCATCAACACAGCGAGCCGCCTGCAGATACTGTACAATATGCAATGCGTCAGAAATTATTCCCATCAGTTATGCCTCGATTTTCGGTCATCTGTAACTGCAGCATTGGTTGTTCTAAAACAGCCAGAGATGAAATATTGAGTGGCCAGGACAATGTTCTCATTGCGGCAACACAGCCAGTTGATGTTTTAACACATTCGGCGCTTGTGAAAGCTGCTCCAAATGTCCCCGAAGTTCACAGGACAATCAGGACAATTTTATGAAATAAGCATTTCTTGAACGTCACCATTTGTCAAATACTTAAGTTCAGAATGACTGCACAGATTATTCTGTAACTTCACAATTTAGAAAATTAGTATTCACATTTTGGTCTAAATACAAATATCAAAATGTTTCCCACGCGCCCGCCTACAACTATTTTCCTACACGTGACAATTTCTGCATGACAACGATGCAATGCTTTTTTCACACATTTATTATGAATACAAGTGTCTTTAATATCAGTGTATTAATGTTACTCATAGTAACGCTACAATCCACCTACTCCAAGTTAGGAGAACCTGCACGATTTTAAAAGGAGTAAACGCGGTAAACTAGCAGATCAATAGAGCGGCCTCCCTGTTCTTGGATAAGATCACTGCTTTTGTGAACGGTTGAGGCTTTGACGACCAGTGAAGATAAAACTACATTAGTTATCTCAGTATACAAAACATTGTTTAGATCTCAATTTTAAAAAATGACGTGCTGATACATGAAAAATACATCATGCAGCAAATTGAGTTTGAGAGCACAACATCATGAACACCAGCTTTTATATCATCGGGGAACACTGAAATAACAATAGGACCATCAGGCGAAAGCAGCAGTTACTAACCGATAAAGAGCGAGATTGGACTTGACGGTCCAGTGGGTTCAGCATTTCCCCACTGACACGATTCAGACTGGGTTTGTTTGGTTTATGTGATTTGCCTGCGTCATATAGTATGTATTGATATATATTACACACACACACGTTTGTGAATAAGATTCTTACCCAAACTGTCTTGATGGCAACAGGTTGTTCTGCCACTTCTCCAGATCCTTGAGCTGGAGATCAAAACGTGGGCTGATCACTCCGCACTGAAAGACACAAAAACACTCGTTAGTAAATTCAAACATTGCCATTAAACGGTAGCATTGGAAGAAAGGAAAAGACCTTTACCTTGTTCAGCCTGCCTGTGAGATTGACGACAATTTTTCCAGCCCTGTGGTCATCAATTATCTCAAACTCACCAATGTAACCTGGGAGGTATAAAGGAAAAATGATAAGCATCAAGACCAGAGCCATTAGTATATTTTAGATTTCATTGAGATATTAAACTATTGCCATTCTTAACAAAACCGTGCTGCTTAACAACCAGCCACTCAAATGGCACATTTACGGTTTTACAGTACCAATACACCCCTCACTCACCGTGCTTCATCATGACGGTTAGGAAGCGCACAATAACCTTGGAGCAGGGCCTGAGGAGGACCTGGCGTTTCCCACGCTTCTCAGCATTGTTGATGCATTTAAGAGCATCCGCGAGCACGTTCATGCGCACCATGATGCCTGCAGACACATGAAGAGAACCACGGTGAGATTAGACAGGTGCGTGTGAGAGACTGAACTAAATGAAACAGCTATGCAAAGCATCACGACCCACAGTGGGCACTCCTTCACAATGTATTCAGTTTGACAGTAACACAGAATATGGAAAGGACCCCTAACCCTCGATTGTACTCACAACTGGAAGTGTGTGAAGCATGAGGCACGTTTATCGATAGAGGCTTCGGCGTAAGGGAAAAGGGAGCATCGCACCCGGGACAACACGACCGGAACGCTATCGATAGTCTCGGCACCTCATCCCCCACCATAGATGAGTGGACAAGAAGGGCACCGGAAGTCAAATTGGGTGTACACCGTTAACTATTTTAACACAAACACACACACACACAATGCTGGTAGCAGCTAACGTTGCGTTAGGCTTGTACTGGTGTTCTACGTTTTTCCGTACCAGACAAATTTTGCGCACAGCGGCACAAACTCCATGTTTGCTTGAATAACGCTGAATCAGAACTACCACAAAGCATGGTTCTTCATGTGCACTGAGATGCTAACATCACGATTAGCCTGTCCGACTAACACTACTTCACATTGACTTTATGGGGAAGCCCCCCCACCTCCTCAGACACTAACTACTGTGTCGACAACGAACATAACGTATTACACCATCATATCAAGGGAAAGTCGTATTCTTTTAAAGTGAAAAGACACTCCTGTGATTTCGTAGCTAACCGTTTCGGGCGCCTACAACGCACCTTTACCCAGGGCCGAACAGAGCACTGCTCGGTGAAATTTACAGTCCAGTCGTGTTTAACTCGTCTAACCAATCGATGCGATAATCCTCTCGAATCATTAATATGCACTTTTGCTTCAAGATGAACAACTAAATGGAACATATAACATTCAGATGCTTAAGATACTTAGAAGATTGATAGTGGCAGCGAAAAAGGGGCTTCTTACCGGTTCTGCAATATGGCGGAAAGAGGAAGTGGAATCTCACAGCAATGCATTATGGGAGGAAATCAAAGACCTCGTCACGTCAAGATAAACCACACCACCGTGAAAGTATCGTCTTCATGTTTTTGGTTGAAAAAAAACGCACAGCACAAACGCTGTTGCAACATAAAACGATACAGAGAGTATTTGCACATTTACGTTGTCCGTTAATATTGGATAAAAAAGTCCTAACAACAGAAAACAAAAATGTGCAACCCTGTTTGGCTATCCAACGCGATCGGGATCTGTAGTTAATATGTGTTAAATGAAAAGCAGCGCCTCCCAGTCGTAAGGATGTGAAATTGCGTAAAAACGTTTGTACCCATTCCTACGCAAGATAAAACGGTTTCTTTCAAATGGTCCATTGACACAAGCAAAACAAGTTTTTTTTCTGTTGAAGATATACCAACCATTGTTTTTATCATTAGATTGTTGGTTTATCTGTACCATGCAGCTGGTGTTGCAAAACAAAATGTTATCCAGGTTATTAATTTAATCCCGTTTACCCCAAACAAGTTCATTTTGAGATGTATATGTTCATCAGATATTTCCCTGTGGTTCCACTGATACATGGTTCTGCTCCATAAAAAACTTCCCGGCTATTTCAGTCTACATGAAAAATAGCCAGATGGCAGAGACAAAGGACATACCATATGCATCTTCTCGTTTCACCTTTTTACATATAGATTATGATTGTGTAACAACAGAGTTCGATGAACCAGAAACCAGAACATTCCATGTTGTCAGAGTCAATTCAAATTTTTATATTCTTTTTCAACCTGAGCAACAAATGAGTCTTATGCTTGTTAACAGCATGTACAACTATTGTCACGCTGTCATGTTTTTTTACAATACCTAGATTAAAAAAAACATACATTTACAGTAACATGTGAAACTTCCTTTCAAAACATGCACAACATTGGAAAGGAAGCCGAATTACAAATATATATTAACGATTGCAATACATAGCCTGTATTTTGTCCATGCATGTCACCACTGCTTTTTTGTTTTTAATAAAATGTATAAATTGAATGCAACACATCACATGGTAAATAGTTGAACTCCTGCCTGCATAAACAGAAGAACATCATGCACATTCCTCATTAGGAGCTAAAGACTAAAACTCAGATATGACAATCTGTGTCTTTGAAACTGTGTGTGTGAAATGAAAAGAAAAGGTCACTGTCAAATCAGAATACTCAAAAGTTGGCACATCATGAATAACTGCTATTGTTTGGTATAAAATCCTTAAAGGTATATACATTTTTCTTTGAAGCTTATCAAAATGTTAGCCTACAATATGTACAGTCCCGGTCAAAGGTCTGGATACACTTTCTCATTGAAATGAATAATAAAATGTGTCCAAACCTTGACTGTACTGTATATTACGTGCAAATGTTTTCAGAGTCCTGTCAAAGCAATCAAATGTGGCAACATTTGAAAGAAGCTTCTGCTCATCTAAAATGTTTAACGCTGTTGCTATGCAGCAGTTCGATTTCCTATATAGTGATCAGGACTAAATTGTGCCGAAGGAGGGAGCCTACAGTATGTGTGGCCATCTGCTGAAACTCAAAGCTGTTCAACCAGTACAACGGTCAAAGCTCTTTCCTGCAGTGTCCAGTAGAGGGACCGCCAAACCACTGAAACTCACTGACATCCCCACCGGTCAAGTCACCAATTTAACAGACACATGAAGCATAATGGAAGGCTGAGCAGCACAAGACCAAGTAACCAGATTTCTGCAATATTTCTATGGTTACATTAACATTTCAACACTTTATTTATTCTATGAGCCTTCGCATGGCTCAAGCTTCTGTCCACTAACATTTAGCCACCATTGGTGAGAATTCTTGGCAGGGAAACTGCATCTTCCTGGGGATCCAGGACCAGCTTCTGGAGGTCAAGGCCCATGGCGACTAGCATCTGGATTAAAGTGAGCTCCTGCTGGGTGGCCTGGTCCACCAAGGCTGGGCAGCTGGGGTTGCACTGGGGCCACTGGCAGGTGTCCACCAGGTGGAAAGGACAGCCTTTGGCAGGGGTTTTGTTGTTGCGTGTCGCCTCCAGACTCCTGTCCCAGCAGTGCAGGGCCCGTGGCAAAGAGGTACCTTTAACCTGGAAACTCAACCAGTTGCTGGTAGACAACAAGAAAAGGGAAGTTAGGGATTGGAAATAAACCGAGGCAAAGGTAGAGAAAGAAAAAAAAGTAATTGAGAAAGGATCGTAAGGACAAGGAAAGTGTCTTCGGTGATGTCATGGACCAATTGCAAGATTTGAAGGCATGAAATTGCATTACTACCAATGGAGTCATATGTCCAATCTTACCTTCTGGTAATCACTGTGTGGGAGAGGCAGGACGGAGCAAACACTCCTCTGAAAAACACAAACAAGAATCCCTTTAAACACGCCGGTGTTCCTCTTGGATTTATTAATATCAGAAAAGGTCCTTGGGATCTTACGTGACGTCTCTCAGTGAGATCTTGAGCTCTCTGCCCAGGTTCTGAATGTACTGCCACTGCTCCTCAGACAGACTCTGTCCTCCCATGTAGATGTTCTCCACTCTCAGCTGCTCCTCATCAAACAGCCACTGCACAACAAACAGGGGGGCTACGGGGAAACCAAAATGTTGAGTTTAAATCTAATCTATATATACATTTATATCAACAATGGCTCAGACGACGTGTGTGCAATGAGCAATGGGATTCTCCTAGTGATAAACCTAGAGGCAGAGCAGTCGTCTCATTGTTTCAGTTTTAATACCAGCAAATGTGTGTTTTGGTTGAATCTCAAGGCAACTGATCTAAAACAAACAGATGCAAACAACACATCATCAATGTTTCCAGATTAAATAAGCAGCTGAAAAGAAAAAGGATGCCCTGACAAATAATTGTAATAGTGTTTGGTGTTTATTCCAGTTTACCAGGCTATTTCTGTTTCTGACCAAGAGCAGCTGTGACTTGGATGTGTGAAGCAAATATGTGACGGCATGCGTATTGGTCTGCAAGCAGCAACACCGCAGGCCAAGATTTCAACCTGCTCTGAACAGGCATGTTTTCGAGGGGGCACTGCTGATGATCAACTTAAGAGGCTCCAGACAGCACTCACAGGTCAAGGTAGAGTATAGTTTGTGGCCAAAGAAGCACTGCCACTCCTCTCCTCTCTTATAGAGCTTCCTGCATCTTTCAGGCACAACCCCGTTCCACAACCTGAGGAAACAACACACACCTTCAATACACACAAATCCATCGCTCAGTCACTTCGACAATACAATCAAATACAACCGCACTGTTATTTTTATTACGCCAGAGGACAGATCATTTCTGTATCCAGCCCATGCATGTGTTTCTTTACATACTGTACATACTGTATATATAAGCTGACTGAAGAATGCATGGTTTACCTGAGTCCTATCTTGATAGCATCTTCAGGTGAGCAGGAAATAGTCTCGGGGCAGTTGGGTGATCTCTGCTGTTTACTCTCCAGAAACCAACCGGAATCCACGAGTCCTCGGACCTGAGCCTCTGCACCGAGCTGCTCCAGCTGACTGGCCACCCTCTCAATGTTCAGCAAAACACCTGTTCCCCCGGCACTGCAAGAGAGACGAAATAAATAGTTTGGCTTGGAGAGCGAATTTTTGTTCGGGGTATCATGACGACAGCGCATGCCAGCTATTCCCATTCGCACTGTGGATCTGGTTTTCGGTCTTGGTGGAGTCAAAACAACCACGCTGCTAACCGTGGAGAAATGTGCACCATTACAGGGCAAGGCCCGTTAATAGACATTATGTCTTTATTGTTGACAAGAGGATACACCCAAAATAGAGCTTCCCTTGTTTAATGTTGGACATGGAGATGGTGGTGAGCATCAGAGTGCAAGCGTGTACCAAACTCACCTCGTGCCAGACAGCATCACAACCTTGGCCTGCTTGATTCCTTTGGGAATGAGGTCTTTGATGACCTCACGGATAATCAGGGATCCCATAAAGGTGTACTCAGCTGACAACAAATATACACATCAAATGACTGGGAGCAGGATACAACACAGGGGAAAAAAACGGTAAAGATTTGAAGAAACCTACTTGCATTTGTATTTTGATCCCTCTCCTTTTCCCTGCCCTGCCGGGGCCTTGGAGGAGGGGTCAGGGATACACCTGTACCACTCCACACATCACTGGAGCAATACGGGATGAATCTGCAGATAAGGACACAGTCGTATTTGTTAGAAGAAAGCTTTGAAACAACTCTCCTACATGACGGTCATCTCTTCTGCCATTTATCAGAAATTAGCAAACCAGATAACCTAAATTAGTTATTGGTCCTACTAATTGGTCATTGTGTTTTAAATGTCTTTAAAAGGTGGTATTTTATATTAATAAAATGGATCAAGTAACCAACTAGGCTAACTAGGACACCCGCAATATCAAACCCACTGAGATTTCCCTCAGTTCCCCTAAATTCTGTCGAGCGTTTAAACATGTTAATCTCGCTGTTTTGGCTTCTGCTCACCATAATCACCAACCTCTTCCAGAAACAGCGGGAAGTTTCCCATTATTTAAAAAAGTCTTACTAAAAACTAATAGCCTGCACCTTCCCAATGCCAAGAGGCCAAAAAACCATTAATATAGTTTCAAATAAAAAACAGCAACAATAGGCACAAACAAAAGTGCCATTAGATCATGTCTTAAAAATGGTATTTCTCTTTATAACAGTCATTGACAAAAGATAAATGTCTGCACGTGACTTCTAGTAGCCAGAATACCACACGCAGTGAGTATTTGCAAGTACTTACACAATGTTTGCATTGTGCCAGTGTGGGTTTTCCTGTGCTTGAGAAGACAAAATGCCAGTTCCTGTAAATACAGCAATCAGAGATCACACAGATATCCATATGTCTCACAAAAGGTTACGTAAAACAGGCAACTGGATGACATGCATTTTCAAGAGTGTGACGTGCATTTTAAAACAATGCCAACTGCCAACTGACCTACCTATTTTAGTTTGTGGCCACCCCGATGAGCTCATTAGTCTGGGTATATTTTGGTACCTGGAATCACAGGTATCTTTGCTGTGGCAGCACCAGCCCCCTAAAAATAATAGAGACTAACATTAGACATTCACGTCAGGCACAGAAGGAAGACCCTAGTTAGCCCATCACAGAGGCTTCTGCGGAATGAAGACGGATACGAATGCACCTGTAGTCTTGCCTGCTAACAAGACTTTATTGTTGCTCATGGTTGGGCAAAAAATTCCTTTAATTTGAAAACTGCCACCACCTTGTTTGTAGATTAACGTTCAACTTGTGCAAAGGGGTTTGACATACAAAGAGAGAGATAATATGACCTGCAACACATTTACATAAACAAATGAATTACACTGCACAATTAATAACAGCAAACCGCAAAAAAATATAACGCATTATAGTAAAATTGTGATGCACACCTCTCATGTCCTCTCAGAGTACAAACGTCAAAGTCAAGCTGAAGAAATATCCACATACATTTCCCACTTTCAAAGTCTATCAAAGTGACAGGCAGTAACCAAAAAAGGAGAATAACGTAAGATGAGTTCACAAGATGACATCCCCATCCAAATTCCAATGGGGGCGTCACGCCAAAACAAGCTGACCCTTGGGGACCAATTTAACCAGTTGGCTTTTTAAAAACTCACCTTCCAGAAATAACAGCCATCGGCGGCTTCCTCTGAACTCCTTTAGGTAAAACCTGCAGAACCACAAATAAACAGGAATGAGATAAAGCAACCATGTACGGAAACGCTGATGTTCAATGCATCACTGTATTAACTGCAAACACACAGTAAATGGCAAGAACCGCCTAATTTTGTTTTGACGGAAAAAAAAAGCAATAATCTAGAACGTCTCACCCAGCCGTTGTTCCATCATTACATGTAACTTGGTTATTTTTGAGGAAGTGCAGTCTCATATCATCTGTCTGTTGTCCAGCTACTCGAGCTCCTGCAGCAGCTTCCTGCCCTGCTTCAGATGTGTCTTCCGTGCTTCTAGAGCTCCCAGAGCTTCCAGTAGCTCTAGTGCTTCCAGAGCTTTCAGAGCTTCCAGTGGCTCTTGCGCGTCCAGAGCTTCCAGTAGCTCTAGAGCTTCCAGAGCTTCCAGAGCTTCCAGTAGCTCCAGTTCTTCCAGAGCTTCCAGTACCTCTAGTGCTCCCAGAGCTCCCAGAGCCTCCAGTAGCTCCAGTTCTTCCAGAGCTTCCAGTACTTCTGGTGTTACCAGAGCCTCCAGTACCTCTAGTGCTTCCAGAGCTCCCAGTGCTTCCAGTACCTCTAGTGCTTCCAGAGCTCCCAGTGATTCCAGTACCTCTAGTGCTTCCAGAGCTCCCAGTGCTTCCAGTACGTCTAGTGCTTCCAGTGCTCCCAGAGCTTCCAGTACTTCTAGTGCTTCCACTGCTTCCAGAGCTCCCAGAGCTTCCAGAGCTCCCAGAGCTTCCAGTACCTCTAGTGCTTCCAAAGCTCCCAGAGCTTCCGGTGCTTCCCACTGCTCCAGAAGTCAGATCAACCACGGAGGGAGACTGGTCAACATCACCTCCTTGGTTCCCACCAGATTTCCTGCTGGACTTCCCACTAGTTTTAGCGTTACGATTGTTCTGACACCAGATTCCACTGAGCAAAAGCAAGAAAGCTACCTTGCCCAGTAACTTCATATCTGAAGTAAAAAAAGAAGAACATACGCACACAAGGCATAACTACACATCCACAAACTGGCTTCATACATGCACATTAAAACGTTTTTTTTCCTCTAATCCAATTATCCATAAATTATCTACATTATTTCCAACACTTTTCAAACAGAATTTACTTACTTCTCTAAGAAGAATCAGCTTGGAAGAGCCCAGCGGTCAGACAGACAACCGGTGCTGGTGAGGACAAAGTGAGAAGTTCAGAGCGCAGTGACCACATGTGAGATGAGGATGCCAGTCATGAGGAGAGATGAAGCCTAGACCAGGTTTGATCGAGTCTGAGAATCAGCTGTAAGCTTTATAGTCCCATCATATGGATCAGATTTCCTCCCATTTCACTTGCAACTTAAGCCAGACCCTGGCATGAACTGCTGACGACACACCGCGAGGGGAGGTGCTGAGGAGAAACGATAACACACAAGTCTCCCGACACATTTCAGGTCTTTCGACACGCCCACCACTTATCTCTCTCCCATCTGACCATTGCTCAAGAACGAGCTCCCCTTTCCATCGTCCATCTCTGATTACCAGTGTTTTGATTTAAACATTTACATGGTCAGCATAACTACAAAGCCCTCTTTAGGGGTATGTGACCCAGAGGTCATTGGAGTACACACTTCAAACACTTTCCGACATGGGAATGAAGAGCACAGTAAGGGTTCCCACATAGCCACCAATTGAGCGGACACTCAGGAGACTCAGATGGTGGACACTAGTTGGCTGTGGCAAAATGTCTTCAAGAGGTGATGTAGTTTCTCATTCTTTAATCCAGGGAGTATCACAGTTCATTGTACAAATGGATTATAATTTATAAATTGCATGTATCACACTTAGTTTTTGGCCCTGTAGGCAGTTGCACGCTTGCTGGTAATCCAGCCTCGTGCCACTAGGATGGCTGAAGGGTGACGTACCTCCTGATCGTTGAAGGTTCATGGGGCCAAGGGCTCTAAAATTCTCAACAATGAAATGCACACCATCCTGAAGTGTCAATCACGTTAAATAATGATTGCTTAGGAGGCCAGATGCTGCTACCAGGAGAACGAGTTAAGCACAGAGTTAAAGAAAAAATGAATCTTCAGATCTCATCTAAGTAAAACATTATGAATTGGTCCACAGAGTAAAGTAAAATGCAAAGCATAAATATCTGTCTTTGCTGTTGGTGTCTTAAAGATTTTCCTTTTCTTCTGGCGAGAGAACAACAATTGTGTATGAGTATGTCGTCTGCAATAATGAGCTAACCATTTAAAGACCATTCAAGGGCAATGCAGACAGATTTATCATGGTTCGTCTTATTGCTTTGGCAGAAACATTTTCATTTTTGCCGCATTTTCGAGCATTTCAAGCTATTTTATCTACTTTCAACTATGGCCAGAAAGAAAACAAAGCTGCTTAAAAATATTTATTTCGAGATCGTATGCACCTACGCGCAATAAAACCCTACCCTTACACATACCTATACTGAATTTGATCTATCGAGCTCAACAATTCTTCATTCCTTCAGTCGTCTTGAAGCATGCACACCACCATCTGTCTTCCCAGAAATCAATGCAACAATCTGTTTAACAGATACCTCAAATAGCTGAAAACCGAAAGAAGTTGCTGTAAATCTATCACCATTTCGCTAGAATGTCACGAACCGAGAGATGACATTGCTGCTATTTGGTTTTTCTTTGATATGGGATTGGACAGATTGATCCGCTTTTCCCAGCAGGCACCAGATCAATGGATCTAAGTGAATCTGCGTGCTGCTCCTCCAGAGACTCATCCAACTTTTCTTGTCACTTCTAAACTCTATTGCATTTGTGGCAATGCCTTTAAAAACAAGCATTTTATATAACCTGTAAGGGGGTCAAGAGAAGTGTTGATCTTCAGCCTTATAGGGTCAACAGCTTGACCCCTTGTGCGGCACCAGAGGCCTCCTTTCTACCCTTGTGTTGTTATTTTTCACTGCCAACCTCCAAGGTCAGGACACCTAAAGCCAGGGTGGTCCAGGCACTTTATCTGCTGAGCATGCGTGTCATCACCAACCTGTGGAGCCGAGGGCCCGGCCGCGAGCTGGAATATTTGTCGGGCAATAGCTTCAAAGAACGAGCGAACCAGAGAACGCCGCCATGTCCCGGATTCTCACTGCCGCACAGAAAGGTTGCAACTCACACTTAACGAGTGCAAAATCCAACCGTATGAACAACAGTTGTTCAACCAACAAGTTCTTGTTGCAACATTAAAACAATAAAATCTTCCACACGGTCGTAAACTACACCACAGTCCGCCTCCTCTCTGACATGTTGCGTGTAATTTGACAATCAACAACAGCATCCCTCTGAATCTACGCTGTCACCAGCAGAGGCACATGATTAATAAGAGATAAGAGTGGCATTTTTACAAGCCACATGGAAACGAGCCTCAGGCAAGAGAAATGGCACCTGGTTGGAGTAACACTCTCCATTCAATCAGAGAGGATGACAGGCAGATCTTAGCGGGATCGGTGTAACGTGCTCGGCCACTGCAGGCGGCTAGCAGGTGGGGCGGGCAGAGCTATGCCTAAAACCATGTGTTAAGAGGCCCTGCGTGGTAACCTTCTGCAGACTGCCAATGCATCAGTGTGATAGATGGCACGAATACAAGGTGTTGGATTTAGGAGGGTTGGGATGCTGAGATAACAGGCATAGCATCGGATGGCCGACGAGCAAGTACGCTTTGTGTGCTACGAGAAGCTGCAGCTCACTCTGCTCAACCGCTCACAACCAAACTATGCGTTCTGTCCAGCTTATCAGCGTGCCAGAAGCACCTTCACCTGCGTCAAATATATTACACCACAATCCTAAAGAGTCAAAGCTGTGTCTAGGACAAATTATGAGATTAGGGAACTGAAAACAAATTAAAAAACAAATAAATATCAAGTTATGCAACCGGATCCCGTTTTTTTTCTCAAACTTCTTCCATTAAAATGTTCAATCCTGCCCAAGTTGGCCCCTGGTTCTGAGGGGCGACGGGCGGGTGCATGCTGTGCTCGAACGATCAGCTTGTCCTTGGAAGTTGTGACACAGTGGAGCAGCAACGTGGCCTTGGATTCATGCCTGCTGAACCACCAGGCCTGTCAGTGCACTGATGGATACCAGCGCAGAGGTCATGCCATGCTAGGCTTCGACAAGAGGTCTGCGCATAGGTCTTTACACCTGATCAACAATTCCACTATTGCACCGCACAGGGTGAGAACAGCTGATGAAAGAAGATTCAGACAAATGTCACCTTGATGTGTCTTCTTGTCCAAGTAGTATTGTGAGTTCATTACATATACCTCAGAATCCCCACCCTAAAAAAAGAGATTTTTAAACGATTGGGGATTCTGATTATGGAAATCAGAAATCAGCTTGCCATTATAGCTTTGACGCTGTGATTTGCCAGGAATATAAATTCGTGCACTACTTAATACAACAGCAGAGTGGCAACAGGACAAGCAGGACTAGCAGCTCTTTGAGGTTGATAAAGCTGTTTACAATTTGAATCTTAGTTTGGTGTGCTAGTAGTGGCGCAATGGATCATAAAAGTTCTGGATCAGATCATATCAAGGATCAGAGTCACAAAAGAAAAAAGACAGCTAATATAACTTTTAGATCATGTTTGTTTTTTAAACCAATACTGGTTATATTGTAGTTTAATTATATCAGCTGGTGTACAAGTCCCCAAAATCCCTTCAAGTCAGTGTGAACTATCAAAAAACAACAACATTGTCCTTTTATTTTATTATATTGGCCAATATATTTTTTGCATTTTTATGGATTGAAACCAATGTTCTCTTCGGACGTTTTAATGATCTATTATGAACTTCATCTTAACTATAAATGTATATGAAATAAGCTCATTTCAACCAAATCTACATTTTGCAGTATTACATAAGAACATATAAGGATAACGTTATAATTCATCTGCAACCAATAGCCATTTTCCCTTAGAGCCTGAACGCGGAAAAATGTAACCTCTTGAAAATGGATGTTTACGTCACATTATCAGATATTTAGTTTGTTTATCACGTACACCTCATGTCACCCCCTAAGATCCTTTTTACATACTATACACTCTCCCAAAAATATATTTGTTATCTAATTGGCCGTGATATGTAGCAATGATTTATTGCAGAAAACACACCCAGAATACATTTACATTTGAGGCGTAACCTCATATTAAAGGTCTGGTTTTGTGAGAAGGACTTTTTTCTTATTTGTTGTGAAGATGTGGTGAAAATTGTGCAAGAGCACCAGATTAAATCATTTCTTTCTCAAAAACAATTGGTAGATGGCAGTGTGGCAGGCTGTAAATCAAACATTCCAGATGAGGTGAAGTCCGCCCCTTGCATGATGTGTTGTGGAGACATGTGGACATGTGGTTTACAGCTCCTTCAGGCCACACACCCCTTAGTCACCCATAAGATTTATCACGGCGAGTAGTCAGAGGCATGTGGACATGCACACATGCATATTTGAGCAGAACCAATTCCAAATGTTCACTCCTGTGTCACAAGGAAGAAACAAACTGTGTTAAACCAGGAGTTTCAATCCGTATCAAGGTCATCTTAAGCATACAGTGACATCACACTAAAAGTATTTTTATGTATACATACCAAAGAACAGTAAAAATAGTTACTATACTATGTTGTGCTATTTTTCAGCGCATGCTGCTGTACGTGAACAGTTGACCTAAATAACCAAGTTAAGTCATAACTACATGAAAAGCACTTCTGACTCAGTTCGACCTTTTGGCCCCTCACTTCCTCACTGGAAGGCCCTTGTTAAAGGATCAAGGCAATTCATACTCTAATAAGAATGCACGTGATTTTCACATAAATATTTTACACTGGACTGAGCTCACCGGATAAAACATGTTATAATTGTGTCCATGCTTAGCCACATCATGTCAGGGTACCCAAGGTTAACAGTCTGTTCAGCATAATGAAAAAATAAAGGTTTATTAAGGAAAATTATTCCCTTTATTAAGGAGATTAGGGACCGCAGTATAAGTACTTTAAACCATGAATATAAAGACATCATGGAACAGTTGAGTTAGTTGACGAGATTGAATCACCGTTGATGTTCTCATCTCTGCAACAAAGCAAATAGGTGTAGCAAACTATTCCCTTCAATCCGGCAAGAGTCCAAAAATGTAAATCTTGATTAACCCTGATGGTCCAACATTAAGAGAGCAGTTTATGTTTATGTTTAAACTTTGTAAATGGAACGATACACTCACCTTTTAATGCAGACAGGTACGTCATGTCCTCACATGGGAAGGGAACAGTACTCCTTCCTGTGTCACCGCAGGGACCGCAAAGCCTTCACCGCGTTTTTTTTAAATTAAAATAAAAGTGTGTTTGGGTTGTGCACAAAGAATACCATGATGGGGGAGTAGCAGAGTATTGTTTTATGGTTATATAAGTAAAACATCATCAACTCAGAGCCTACCCAATGCTACAGATGGAGCTTTTGCTCAGTTTCCATGAATTCTAGAAAGGCCTGCTGACTGACAGTCTGCATGCAGCCGAGCCAAGAAGCAATACCATCTGTATCCGAAAGCTTTTATGACTTATAAGGATATGTATTATTTGTGCTCTTCAGAATTTACAACCAAATTTTTGCACGAGTAGCGAGACAGTCCCAGTTTAGTTTTAGTGCCCTTTTTTAAAACACTTGTTGCCAATTTCTCAGTCAGTGTTTCAGCAGATTATTTTTTATTCCCTAGAATGACCCTAAACAGTTCAAATGAACTCCTGATGGCACAGACATAGAATGTTGACCTTCTGATTGAGTGAAATTACAACTAAAATCTCAAGTTAAACAATGACAGCCAGTTTTGATGTTAAGTTGACGGATCGCGGTTATCAACAGTTTACGGAGTCATCACTGCTGTTTGTATTTACCAGTCCCCCAAAACGGTGCTACAGACGGAGCTGTCCCTTTCTTCTTGTATTCAAGCAGTTACACCTCACTATAGAACTGTCAGCACCTTTCATCCCGGCAAACGGAGCGTATGATCCTGGACCTCTGATTTGCACAGCTGCCCCCGGCCTCATTCTACTCATGCACGGTGACACAGATATCAAAGGGCCTCTTTGTCATCAGAAAATCTTACCAATTGATATATTGCATATGAAACTGATAAATTAATATAAAAGGGGGTTAGGTTGTTACATGTTATGGGAGGGTGGGTGTGTCACTATACCATCAGGTGGTCCTCATTCAGCCGAAATGTCAATGTTCATTTCATATTTACGGACGATGTGTTGTCCTCAACAATCATTTTATAATGTTCACCATCATAATAGACATGGAGGGGCTGGGTTTTTTCAACCGGTACTTGGGCTGTAAAAGAATAACTTGTCAGTGAGGAATGGAAGCAAAACGGCACATGAACCCTTGAGGTCAGGTCTAAAAATACCTCCTCTGACCTCAGGCAAAATAGATCAGAGCCTGTGAACCTGGTGAGTAACAGCTCATCTCCGTGAGGCGCTTTCAGGAAAGACATTGATGAACAGACAGGTGACGCTATATAGGAAAGACACGAATGGCTATGGTAATATAGTATTTACATTAGGATAAATAAATTGACTGTATTGTCAGTTAACAAATTAATGGTATTCAATACGCAACAAAGCTATTAGGCTATCAAACTTGTGTTGCTGAACATACTTTTGAATTCTAACTCTTGTTGAGTGCATATATATATATATATATATATATATAAAATATAATATATATCTACACACGCATTTACATGCTGTATATACTTGTGATGGCTCAATAGCTTGATACATTATGTCGTTATCTCTTTCCATTTGCCACCCATCTATGTACATATTATTATAGTATGAGGTTTTAATTCAATTGAATCGGTCTTACCGCCTACTGGAGCCAGGAGACAAATTATAAGTTATTTGAGTCCTATAAGGCCCCCTTTTCACTCACAATAATTCAATGTATCATCATGCTCCCAGTATATGAAAAGGTCAAACTATGGATGAAAGACCTCAGTACGCGAGTGTGCAACGCGGACCAACAAATACCGACACAGGGGGAGGCGAACACTGTGCTCAAGCTGCTGAAAGGTCCAATAGATTAGGGGCTCCTGGGCAAGCCTCTAGTCCAGTGACCTAATGTACCCAGAATAGCTGTGTGAGGACGCTTAGCAGTAAGGCCAGGATGACAAGTCATTGCTCAGCTTGATTTATGCGCCATTACATGTGAAACCGGAGTTAGTGGAAGGGTATGCTAGTAACAATATGTTCACAATACAGGGATCATCTTCTGGTGAACGGCAAGTGTTACAGCAAAGATCACTCAGATACCTTAAGTAAGAAAAAATAAGATTTGATACTATCTAATTGCTAATATAAGACTACTTTCATTAGTTGAATCACAAGTGCAAAAGTGTTTTTTATTTTTATCACCAACATTACTGATCAGGCAAACTGCACCTCAACGGAAGCATTGTGACAAAAAGTGACAGAGGACATACATTAAGCAGCATTAACCCCTCTGACTTAAACTGTGTGTATTATACACTGTACAGGGCAGTACAATCTTTTCTTATGAATGTTTTTATACAATACTTGATAAGTGTTTAATTTACAATGTAGCTGGATTCAAATTGACATTTAGATTATTTTAAACAAACTGAGCCAAACAAATCAAACAAATGTTGGACAAAAAAAACAGATGTTTAAAATATTATGTTAGACACGCTGAGAAACAGATATTGCCACTTTGCAGCCAAGCTGTATGGCATTTTTTAGAAGCCAGTATCCAGGAACCTAAAGCAAAAAGCAAATAAAACACACTTAGACTGAATACTTTGGATAACATTGATTAAATACTGCAAAGACAGCTCCAAACAGTATAAATGACTACTGATATTTATGCTTTTTAGTGTAGGCCAAAAATTCAAAAAGGAGTCTTTTAATGGCTTTTTTTGTGAAAGGTATTTGCATGGTGCATTGAAAGACAAGTAAATGATACCTACTTTTTCAGCATCGTGCTCCAATCCTGTATCATGATGCTCCATCTCATCGTCCCGGAATTCCTTTATAACCTATTTAAATGCATCACAATATACGATTAATTGAGCCAGAAATGTATGTACTTTTACTTCTTATGTATTTTCTTATTTTAAACGCTGTTATTAAAAATAAAAACACAAACTTACCATGCCACGCAACATTTTTTTTGAAATATGATAAAAAGCTGAATTGACTTAGCTGAAGTTTTTTTTATTTGGATCATGAGGTGTTGATCATTTTCCGTGGGCAAATATGTCGATTTATATTTTCCCTAAGCGATCATGTGTTACATCTCCCTTCATTTTGATCATTATTTTCATTATTCCTGTGTTTTTGACCTCACTGTTTTTCTTTGGTTGAGATGTCCGTTTGTTTCCGGTATTAAACTCCGTTCACATCCCTTACGTATCACAAGAATGCTGATGTAAGTGTCAGCGTTACAGAACAAAACAGCAACTGACTCACTTGTAACAGTTCAGTGTATCTCTCAGGGTCCTTCTCCATCAGAGCTCTTATCTGGCTGTTGTAGTGCTCCGAAATACTCTCCTCCACCGCCACAGTGCAGGCCATGGCCCCCTCTTTGCCCAGTAGTGCACTGGACGCACCTGCAGTACAATACACATTTAAGATGAAATAATAAAGCATTAATAACCATAAACAAGACAAAAAGGTATTTAGCATTCTTCTACAGCAGATAGAGAACAACCCAAAACAAAACTAAGAGACTTTTCAAGGACTCCCAATCGGGTACGGGTGTCAAAATGGGTTTTCTTTGCATGTGTTTTATAAACTCATTTATCTTATAACTGTATTATAAACTATGCCGTATGTTTATGGCTGGTACCAACCTAATACAAATCCAGCAATATTCCAAAGGGGTAAAAGGGCAGTGGGACGAACTCGGTTTTCAGCCAGAATCTCATTGAATTTCTTTAAGTGTTTCTTTTCTTGATCCCACATTTCCTAAAGAAAGACAAACATGAACATGCAGTATAACAAACGATACGGTGAATGCATAAATGTGTTTTGTTTCTAGTTCTTAATCACAATATAGCAAACTAAAAAGACACTGTTTTTCCATGTCAAATAATGCACATTTTGACTGAAATATTTAAAACAATGAGCAAGACATTTTAAGTGACAAAATGCAGTACAAATGTTCCGATTCACCCGCTTACCCAAATCAAATTCCAGTGTCAGATCTAAACATTTAATTCATCCTTCAGTAGAAATCTCCCCAAACCAGCCACATTGGTAAGACTGCTGTGAGAGCGAACATGTAACACTTGTGCATATTGAACAATTTTTTTAACACTTTGACATTTGGAGTCATTACTGTCAACTGCTGTAGACAACGTATGCATTTCAACAAACAACGTGTCGCACTCTGCACACACACACACTCACACACACACACTCTGCACACGCACACACAACCCCCCTACCTGGATCAGAGGCCCGATACTAGATCGTCCCAACACTGCCATCTGGCCGGCGTAGATGCGATTGGCCCCGTACTCCCCGGCGTGGTCCACGCGCAGAATGCGGTCCAACATGTCCTTCTCCTCGCTGTCGCGCGGGGTCGGGACGACGCTGTAAACACGTGAGCTGCGCTGCAGGGGCACTGGCGTGCACACAGGCTTTGCGTTACAATGGAATAACACACACGTAAACGACGTGACGACGCGATACGCGACGCGTGTTCAAGAATGTCAAAAGGCCTGAAAGTACGTCGGGAACTGGAGGATCAAACATTTGTTTCGCACGGACACTTGAACAACATTTTAACTTGTGTCATAAACGTTCGTGCTTGAATAATAGTTTCCTGCGTGTGTTTGTGAGTGTTACGGACGGGAACGTAACGTTTCACACAGCAGCGTCGCTACTTATTACCGTTTTTCTGTGTTGATAGAATTTCTACAACACCAGTTATGAAACAAACGGAAAGACACGCCAACATTAGCGGCTAGCATCCCGACCACACTGCTAGCGTTTTAGCATGTGTAGCTACTTTAGCTCTCTAGCCGTCGCCGCTGACGTAAACGTCACCGCTCACCTCTGCTTTTTAAACACTGGCGAATGGTCGTCGAGCCGGCGGCGGTGGACCAGTCCCGCAGAGCCGCGCGCAGGGCTCCGTGCATGGCGGTCACCTCCGAGTCTGACAACCCGGCGTATCGAACGAAAAACTACAAGAAATGTGTGCAAAGTGTCATTGGAAATTCTGGAAAGGCGGACGCGGCGCGGCCGTATGACGTAGCAGCGGGACGACTTGCACAACACCGTCACGTGTCCTCAAATGCAAGCATCGGTGTATTTTTTTGCGCGTTAGTCTTTTTTAATATTACATCCAATTGTGTCATTGTGACGGGAGCTTTTACATTGTGAAGTAATGGAAGTGGCTGTCTTCACATCACGTGCAGATCCAGGGTCAGTCACTAGATGGCAGTAACGTGCCTTGATTTCAGATTTGCTTAAAGGCGCATGCAATGTTATAGGCGCATGTACTACGCTTAAATCAAGCATTCAAGGCTAAAGACAACTGGGACAATAACTCCCTGCTACCTTTTAAAAGTTAAGGGTTCAGTTGGTGAGGTAAAATTGATATACAACTCAGCTGAACGTTATTTATAGCTGTTGCTGTGCAGCGTTATGGTATCATCATTGTGGACTAGTCCCTAGTCCCTCACATGGCCGCACACATACACACTTAGCAGGCAATTTAGAGTTTGCAAAGTTAACCTGGCCTGTATGTTTGCATTTCAGAGAATGAAGTAAACAGTGAAAATGACCCTTTGCCCAGACACTTACTCTTGCTTTTCTATGTCAAACAAATTTGTTTGTTCATCTTATGTAAGACCAAACCTGAAAATAAGCCTTAAGAAAAGGGGGGAGGGAGTTTGTTGAGTAATCAGAGCAACTTCACATGGCAGTGTTGCAGAGATAAAAGGCTCTGAGGCAAGTTATGTAAACTCTATTTGGTCCCAGTTTTCATCATAATGTCAGATTCAGTCAAATATGTGTCAATGCATAGTGGCCCTCCAAGCAAGTGTATTAAGCAACACTTAATACAAACGGTTCCCTCTGAGCCTCCACATTATCCGTCACTATCATTCCCATTTTTATGTTAGTCAGCAAAGCACGTACGATGGTGCTGCTGGGACTCAGGAATCTGTACAATGATGGGGTTGAGTGCTGCGGAGCTGTGATGGTCATGGGTAAACAAGGCCAGGACAGTGAATGGCGGGGTGTGTCGGTTTTGTCTGTGTGTGTGTGTGTGGTGAGACACTTGTTAAGTGTTTCCCTATATATGTCTGTCTGATTGTGGGTGGTTACTGATGTGTGGCTGCGCATTGGTACGTGTGGCTTTTTTTTTTTGTCCTCTCTGCTTGAGTGTATGTGCAGCTTAAAGGTGTGAGCCAGGCGGGATGAACACCAGGTACCCAAACCCCTCAGTATATCTTTGCCATGTAGTTCTAAGCAGGTAGTATACAGTGTGTTTTAAGACCATTTTCCCCAGCTGAGACCAGCTGCCTGCTACTCCTAACACGTAATACTGTAAGCGCAGTGAGGGTAAACAAAAACAGGAAAGTTGTGGCCTGGACAGGTATGTCAACAACATGTTGTGAACCTGCATGCAGACGAGACAACACTGACAACAATTAATTCTAGCTGCTTTGATGTGTCTTTTCCAAGTCTTTCAGACTTTCATTATAGATTTAGTTCACATTGTGCACAATTCTAAATAAATGAAATAATAAATAATATTGGTGTTTCTTCAAATGATCCCAAATTTGCACAATAAAAGCCTTGGTTCAGGTAGTATTATTCCATCACTGAGGTAGCGGCTGCTTCCTCTGGCTCATAATGAAGCTTCCATTTATAGTCTGCTGCGTGCAAAGCATTTAGTGGAGGAGTACACAGTGAACAAAGGTGGCCCAACAGCTTATTTTAGCCTGGTGCCCTGTAACAGGTTGCATCCAGGCTTGGGTGTGAGAAGTCAGAGGAATGAGTAACTGAACATCACTTGATTCACTATGATGTCTGGTCTAACAAGCTTCATGTGGACAGACAGGAGTGGGTCTGGATCACTCAAGGAACGTGGTTGGAGGGTTTGTGAAGAGAAAACGGACAATTTCAGCACAATAAAGCTTTCAAGAAAGCCTTTGCAGAAGTGTCTGAAAGGTTTAACTACATCTCAGATCACGGTATACAATACATATGAAGGTCAGGTCTTAACAGTAGCGCAATTAAAAGGACGGATGGACCAAAAGAAAGTGCTTGTACTCTTGTTGTTGGCTGTGATGCGACTAAGTAGACTAAAGAGAAACCTGCAGAGGTGGAGCGAGAGTGGCACTGACATGTGTTTGTGTTCATGCACCTGTATGCATGCGTGTCTGTGTAGTTTGCATGCATTTATAAAAGTGCGTGAGTCTGCACACCCTCTGGTCAGCCTCTGCATAGCTGTGATGGGGCACTTCTAGACTACAATGTCTGCTCTCACCGAGGGGAGACATGACAGGTCTTGTTTCATCCCTCACTGATGTGTTGGGACAAGCTTGTGTGTGTGTGAGAGTGGCGTTTATGATTCGAAGTAAAGTGGGTTATTTACCCAGAAGAAGAATGTATGACGTCAACATGCATCAGTGTCTGAGCGTACACACGTAATATTGCTTTTGACATCGCTGTCCTATAATAAAGTTGCAAAAAATAATAATTTTTCTTTAAAGCATTACTTTCTGTCAGATTTAGCATCTCCACAATCTTTCTGAAGTTGTGTATGTGTCTATTTGGGAAAGTTTTTCCCTCAAAGATAAATAGAGCCCTACAGAAAATACAGCAATGTAAGTTTTTATTGTCATTCTAGCTAAAAGTTTAAAAAAGGACCAGAGTAAGCATAAAGGGGGTACTCAAACAATAAAACATTGCACTTCCATCAAGGGGCTATGGTTCAAATTTAAAGGAGCAGAGGCCAAGCTGTCCTGACTTTTATGCCACACAAATTCATTTCAAAAGAGTGTTTTAAAAGAAAAATGTTCCACGTCCGAACGGGCGTTCCAGTGTCATTTGAGGAACAAGCCATAGAAAGGAATATCATGTGACTGTTCACGGGCTCGCAGGTCCTGGTACAAACGGGAAGTAGAAGTGGTTGTTTAGTTACAAAGAAATACAGTATTATTCTGCTAATAATAAAAACATGCTCTTCTATAATCTTCCCCTCAAACAGACAAATCTTTCTCGCAAAAAGAGAAAAACTTATTAGTTAAAAAGTCCATAGTTTATTCCAGTATTCAAGCTGCATCCTGTATTTCTCATTATACAACTTACTAATATGTGTTTATGAATCCCTCCCTGGTTTATGTTAACACATCAATATATTTAATTTTCTCCAACTCTGCCTGTTGGTTTTGCATCTTACCAACGAAGCCTCTAACCATCTTCTTCTTCATTTTCAGACACAAGTACCTCCTTCTTCTTGTCCACTACCCGTTTTAATTCCTCCTCCAAAAGTTTGTTCTTGGCCACGTCCTTCTGAAACTTTCAATCCAGAACCTTCAATCTGAACTTGGATCTCTGTTCTTGCAAGTGCTTTGTGAATTTGTCCCAGATCTTTGTGTTTTTCCTGCCAGGCTTCCACTCTTGTTGAGCTCAGTTTCTTTGCTGCTCAGCTGTTTTTCATCTCTGTGAGCTTCTCAGAGCGACTGTCCTTATCTTTGTTGAGATAAGGACAGTCCCTCTGCATCGATCGCTTGCCCCACTTGATTCCAAGTGTGTGCACGTCCTGTTGTTCCAGGTCCAGGTCTTCCAGTGCATTTGTTCTCTGATAATCCTCTGCTCTATTTCAGCCTTGCTGTAAAGAAATGTGTTAATGTAGCGTTAGACATTCCTGCAGCAGTCTATCGTTAGTACAGCCGCCAACGTGGTCAGTTAATACGTCCCAGTATTATTATTCACGGGAGAAAAAGGACAGACCGCCATCGTCTCTTTGGTCTGAGAACTCGCACTGACCGGTTTTATTTCGCGCTTATTTACATCAGAAGAACAGCAGCACATTGCATCCGATGGCTCAGTAGCACGGTTATATGCCTTCAGTTATGAAGCCTCTGTCCTTTCTTTGTATTGGGATGATTCTGAGGTCAAATAATTAATAAAACTGTTTTCTAGTCCACTTTTAACTTTAATAATCACGTAAGACACTATTCAAAGTGGCAGGAGGTCAGTGACTTAGTCACTTAGATGACCTCCAGAGTTTGGGTTATGTTGGGAAAATTAAAACAAAGTTCAGTGTGGTGAGTGGACAGAAGGTCGGTGACCTCTTGAACTGATACGTGTTCCTGAGATAAACAGATGTTAAGGATCTGGGTATTTTCCCAAGGAACTCATGTCGTGAAGTTTTATTGCTTAAGTGTAAACAACGATTCTCTTCCTTCTATCATGAACAACACTGCTGTCTCTCTCTCTCTCGCTGTCTCTCTTTGATGTGGAGGTGACCAGTGGGAGCAGATCCAGCCCTCCCCTCCCCCGAGGAGGGGGCACAGACGTCTGTCACCTCAGACTGTGTAACTTGAAGCTGAAGGAAGAATCCTTTGAGCAGCCTTGCGTCTTGCAAGCATTTAACAAACGTCCTGTTCAATGACCGCACACGGGGTCGAGTCAAATCTCTCTAACAGGTTATCACAACCAGAGTTGCGTGTCACTTTTATTTATGACCTCGGGGGAAGCTTTGCTGATACACACAAAAGCTGGAGAGGCTACTTTTGACAGTATAAATTCAGTTTTAAAAAAAGCAGTTAACCAACCCAAACTGCTATAAAAAAAAAAGAAAATAAATTAAAGTTATCCAACACTGTTTAAAAAACCAAACATTTTATGGTGTCTCTCTGGAAAAGGAAAGATGTCTCCTAAAGTAGCACAAAAAAGAGATTCATTTCACCAACCCTTGAAAAACCCCACCTAAGCCTTTTTTTATAAATGGGTTTACAAGATTTAGAACCAGGGGGAGGGATTCCTCTTCCATTATTTGAAAATGTATCTTGTACAGACCTAGTAAAAGCTCTCTCTAAAACGCCTGTTTTCATCCACACTGAAGAGTGTATTTAGCTTTGTCTGGTACAAGTTGTCCCGTCTGTCTGGCGCTTTTCTTTTAGCTCTATTTTCTTTCACCAGAGGAACGGGAGATAGTGTTAAAATCTATTCCTTTAGTTTGGAGCGGGAAGGGGGGGTTCATGGCTGCCCTGGCGATGCTCGTTGAGACCGATTTCTCAATAAACCAGTCACATAAAACTGTCAGTTCAGATGGGAAGCCAATTGAGATAAAGATGCAAACAAGCTCGGGAAAATGAGCCAAAAGTAAAGCGTCGTCAATGGCAAGCTCAGACGTATCATCTGGTTTATAAAAAGAAGGTGTGCTCAGTCGGAGAGTTAACCAAGTCATTTGATGCACTTGAAGAGAAACTGTTCCTTTTCATAGTAATGTAGTCCAGGATAGGGGAATCAACGTTTTTGGTTGACATAATGAAACATCTGAATGCGCTGAATGTTAATCTTTGAGGAAAAGATGCAGAGGTGAGCCAGCTATACGCTCACATCAAGGCCTTTGGAACCAAACGGAGCCCTGCACTCCCCCTCGTTGACAGTTTCCCGCAGGACAACATCCGTGCCCAAGTGAAGAGTTATGCAACAGCTATCGGATCTATTTCTGTCGAATTTAACAATTGCCTCCGGGACAGTTATCGAAAAGGACAGGTTGCCTTTCCCTTCTCCCGTCTCTCCGTGGACCCTGATGATGCTGGAGCTCATTGAACTCCAGTGTGACGACAAAAGCAGGTTTCCGGACATGCGATCATTCACTACCAACATTCTGAGCTTATTCGGCTCCAAATACTTGTGTGAGCAAACACTCTTAGTCAGGAAGTCAAACAAGAACCGATTCATGAGGCAAAGATATTTAACTCATTGAAATTTCTATTCTATACAGTTTGTTCAATGTTATCTGACCTAATGAAAGGGAATTTTGTGTTTTCAGAGTTGTTCACGTCTTCCTGAGTGGCTCACATTTAGTTACATGGTCATTTGAAAAATAAAGTTCGGTATTTTCATGTAACTTGTTAAAAAAAAATCTCAGAAGGAACTATTTGCCCCCGGGCATTTTTACTTCATCAAATTTAGCACTCTATGCAAAAAGTTTGGAAACCGCTGATTTAAAGGGTGTGATGCCGAGCTGCGCAGCCCTTCATTTGTGCAAGCCTGTCATTTAAGCAGCATTTCCTGTTAGCCACAGGATGTGGCTCGCTTTACTTGGCCTTTGCTGTCCTGAATGGTTTTTCCGGAAGTCATGTTTGCACTCTCGGATTTCCAGACTGCAAACTGTGGGTTACCAGTGTGTATGAGGACGTACTGTACAAATGGCCCTGCAATACGAAGTTGAGTGACAATTGCTAGTCTTGTATTTTGGGTGCGTCATGTTGGCAGATATACAATTTGCCATCGTGTATGGGACTCATTTCCTGGCATTTTTTTATGACTCAATGTAGAATCTGTTTTGGATAGAATGAATTCATGGAAATATCGTCATGAGTTTCTGAATGTACAACTTTAACCGACGCAAAATAAGTCCAAGTTCTACCACAAAGATGAAAACATCAACATATTTCACGCTCACTTTGTCAGTTTTGGGCTGCAGGGATTGCGACTTGCTGGCACATGTTAACTTTTATTGTTGCTGTTATTGTAAAACGGCAATGACCCAAATGAGTGCTAAACAGCTGGCTGCAGTCCAAAAGACATAACATAAAAAGCCAAAACCCACCAGAATTAAGGCTGCGGTGGACTTTGGTATTTGGAACATAAGATATAGTAACAACAGCAGCCAGTGGTAGGAAATCTGCCGGTCATGATTTTACCACATTTACTCATCCGGTTGGGTTTTTAAGGTGCGCGGGGAGTGGATGATTCCCTAATAAATGTCACCACCACAATACAGGCCGCCCCCTTCAGTTTTTCTTGGTGATATTTTTAGAAGGGTTCGGTCCCACAAGCCGCAAGGGAAATGCCATATTGTTTTTGTTGATGGCCGTCTCACCACTTCAGTGCGGTGATTCACGATGAGCTGCTGTCGGCGTACGTCACGAGAGGCGGCACCGACTGGGAGTCAGGCTCCGTGCTCTATTAGGAGGGTGCCAGTCGTCCGCGTTATTGGGCAAATAGTGACGGGGTACCGTCCCGTGCATTTCAACTCGCTGCTATTTCAGGCCAGCCGTCTGTTTTGACTTTAGAGAGAAGCCACAGGACCCTATTAAGCATTGTTGGAGTAATTGGGCTGTGTTTTCTCTGAGGGCCGGCATTTATAAACGGTGGCTCCTGAGTTTGTGTAGAGACGATGCAAGACAAATGACAAATAACATCTATCTTTACAACTAAACACTTGATGAAATGATGAAGGCAAGGTATGAGATAATGTAAACGATCCTTTGGTGTTTAATTTTTACCTCTTTAAGATTTCATTTTTCTTTTTACAAAATATACCAAAACACTGGCAAAGAGGAAGATCTTAGGTAGATAATAACAAGAATACATATGAAAACAAATCACACCCTTTAACACATTTCTTTTAAATGAACGTCACTTAAACGTTCTATAGAAATTATTTGTATCCAACTCCAAACTTTAATTGATACTGAGAAATTGTATTCAGAATATGTCAAATTCAAGAACACTTTCAAATCCGAGAACTTATCACGATTCATGGAAACAACACCAAATAAACGTGTCACGATCACGATGTCATGTTCGAGAAGAGTCTTTCAAAAAGAATATCTGGCAACAGCTTAAAGTTTATGTGAAATAATTGAATTCAGCATTCTCTAAAAGTTGGTATAAGTACAAATAGTGGTTTGTTTTCAGGGCAGATTTACAAAATTCCTCCAACATTGAAAAAAACCATCACTTTAACATGGCTTTTAGGTTCAGGGAATCGTTTGTGACGTCAGGGGTCGGGATGGTTCGTAATGGAGCAGCAGGCCAGACATGTATTTTGGCCATTTGTAGGAAAAAAATAACTCACCACCCACGGTCTCTGCCGTATATAAAAAGAAATACATGTGGTCTTTAGAATGACTAACTCAAAACACCCAGATTTCTTGATCTGACTAATAGACTCACTTGACACATCGTGCAGTGGAAAACATGTCTGTAAGTGAAGTTTTTTTTTTTCTTTGAATTTCCTCCTTGTTTTCAGTGGCAATGTCACAGAACGCCATTTACCACCAAGTAATCACAGAAGCAGAAAAGAAAATACAAAAAAGTTTACATTGTGTTGTTCTTTTCCATTGTTTGTCTGAGGGCTCCAAACCAATCCCGAGACACTTCTGGATTTCTCCTGCCGGGGAATCGTCCCCCTGGTTTTCCTCTGAATGGTAATCACAGCACAGATTCAGACAACTTCCGGTTCCAGGCCCGTGGAGAAAATAATAGCACGACATCCTCCGTCCTTCTTTACTGTGTCTGAGGTTTGGAGATGTCGCCCTGGGAATAGATCCACCATAGAAAAAAGCGACTGGGGCCCAGCAATTACCTTACTAATTCTGAACCGGCTGTGCAACTGAATTATCTCCTGGTGTTAGATGGGGGTGCTAGTAGACATTTACTGGTCTTTATGATAAGGTAAAATAACTCTCATCTAAATCTAAGGATAGCAAATACGTTTATTTTCCAAAACTTTGACGTGATTGTGTCTGTAGCCATTTCTACAACAGTGCGAATAATCGAGCCGCGTGTATTTGGACCTCTTATGAATGACTCTCAGCAGGTGATGAGCAGTAAGGTGACAAATACTTTCATGCTTGCATCACTCTCGGAGGCATGTGAGAAGGGTCTGGAGGACGACACAATGAGGAAGCAGGTCTGACACACGCAGTCTCACACGTGTGTGTGCTTTCACTGTAACTTCCTCGACATATCAAGCGTTGCTCAGCAGTCCAGCTGACAAACGGACCAAAGGTGCGTCTAAAGAGCGGAGCAGTAAGGAAAAAATAAAGATGGCACTCTGGGTGAAGGCGGGAGGGAGAGAAGCGGAAGACCAATTATAACTATAATAGCGTGGGCTGACACATCTGAATTTAAAGATTCGATTCGCTCATCTAAAATTGCTTGTTTAAGAGTTAAGAGAGAATAAAAGACGGCAGATATTTGACCTTACCCTACCTTATTTCTGTTTTGGTCTCCTGCCTTAGTTTTGCTGTTGCTAAATTTGTCTCCGGTTGCTCCAAGGTAAGAAGCTATAATGACACCATTATATTGACTAGACTGTGTTGTGTCCCGAGCAGAGAGGCCAGAGGAAGTGTAGGTGACCTACACTGGTTAACCACCGCGTGCCACCCTCTGCATCCTGCCAGGTCCACATTACAACTACTACTCACCACGACCGCAAGTGGTCCTGCTGCAGTCTCCCATCGCGCTGGGTGCCTTTTCTCTTGTAAACAGTCTGCCGTCTGGCCATCGGCTGGCCCGGAGCTCATATTGGTCGTATTTGCCGGCTAAATGTGTGCATGTTTATGTACGTTAACCAGTCTTGGGCCCGTGCCAGCAGCAGTTTGCACGACTCTGCACACGTGTTGTTTTTGTGCGACCTTTCCTCCATGAATTGCAAAACCTCCTGACCTCAAGCCGCTGTCTGGGGGCAATCAGCTGAGGAGTCTTGGCTCTGTTGCTACAGAGAAGTTTATTCTGGATGCACCTGGGGGGCGATATCAAACTATCTCACCTGAACTCACCTGAAAACAGAAAACCCAAAAATATATAAATAAGCACATTTACTTACAGCCGAGGTGACCACAGGGCACCTTTTCAAGGGAAGTCCTCATAAACCTACGCAGCCAAACACCACATGTCGTCTTCTGATTACTGTTGATTAGAAAACGCAAACACTCCCTGTAACAAATATTCCAGCATGTCACCAACATGAGTTAAAACAGAAAGGGAAGACATGCAACGTGTCTTTCTCTCTGCGTTTGGACCCCGGGTGTTATTTGGAACAAAGAGGTGTACTGTAAACACTAAAGCCTCTGATTGTCGTGTGCACAGACACACACACACACACAGCGCACCCCACTGGTCGTGGTACATTGCATGAGGTGTTTCAGACCATTCCTTGGTGGTAGAGGCCCTCCACTCACGCTCTGGGAGTGAGACATAACAGGTTGCGCCTTGGACATCTTTTTTTGGTTTACATCTGTCTGACAGCTACATTAGGCTTTGTCAGATGGTGGTCTGTTAACCCCTCCATTAGTTCATTTTGAAGCCAGCAGGATAAACATTGGGGGCACCAGAAGCTCATGTCGAACTTTCTGTCCTTGGCACCAACTCATAATCATCTAACTTTTAAAGGAATATCTGATACAAATGAATCCATAATTACACAATACTCATAATTTTACACCCGGTGCTGAGGTGCTGAATAGAAAACACCCGCCATCCTGGAGTGATGACTCATGTTTAAAAGAATAATAATGTCATATTTTCACATGGCGAGACACAGGACCTGGTGGTGGTCTGCTGAACTTTCCAAGTTCCTTCTCAGCGGTGATGATGGCCACGGTGGTGTTAGTCCTGGAGACACTGTCATACTTTCCTGCACAGCTGCTGTTTTTCCCCAGTGTCTTAAACAGCGTAGCTGTCATCACGCCATTCAGTGATGCTTTTCAACAGACTACAAAGAGCTTTCAGGCCATACAACCTTTCCCTTTAAACTGTGTATAAAAATGTTTAGGATTGATTCTGTACTTTTTATTTTGTGTTTAATGATGCAACTGCATCCCTTTGCACGCATCAAGTATTTCAGACTTGCACACATGATGCAAATAAACTGTTTCCTTCAGAGTTCCTTTACCGCCAAATTGGTCACAGAAATTACACTTATTTTGGCATTTTACATACGATGACTTATTAACTGACACATTCCCTTTTCTTGGCGTATCAGCACTTTTTTTCCCGCAGTACCAGGCTACATATTTCAAAAAACGTTTAGACTGAAAAACTGAATTTTGCAACGTACTGTTTTGTAACGCATGTGTGACGCACTATGTGTGACGCACATCCTATGTGATATATTGCCTAATATGATATGCTAGCACGTGTGATATACTTTGCACCAAGCTGGCAAAACTATAAGGTTTGCCAGAGCCCTGCATTTAAGTAATGTAAATGTTTTGTGAGTGAAGTCTGAACAAACAGACTGGTGGTAGGATGAGCGGTTTGGAATGACAAAACACCACAGCTTCTCATCGCCCCAATGAGAATCTGTTTTGTGAGTGTGAGAGAGCGAGAGAGCGAGAGAGAGAGAGAGAGATTTCCACCCACCTAAGAAAGTGACACACTCATAAACAGAAGGCAGGCAGAGTAAAAGTCAGATAGACTCAAGATCTCAGGACAGCAGCAGATCAAACAGCGAGACAGACGGAGACAGAGATTCATTGAGAGAAGCTGTTCAATTAAAGGGGAGGAAAAGTCACGCTGACACACTCAAATACACACACACACACACACACACACGCACACACACGCGTACACACTAATAAGCATAGCATGAGCATGAGCCAGACAGGAACCAGCTAACCCCAAGGTTTACTGCCATTAGCCAGAGAAGAAAAGTCCAAACTCTAGCCCCCCACATTACACACACACACAGACACACACACACACTGGTGCCGAGAGGCTGCTACCCGGCGTGAGGAGAAGGGCCGATCAACCCCCAACGAGTGGATGGATGCATTTTGCAGAATCAGCGGGCTGGATCCCCTGTGGGTAAGTTTATGTCGTGTTCCCCTGTAATATTTGTGTCAAGCAAGTTACTTTTGTCACAGCATTCAAGCTTGTTTTTTTTAAGCCCGTATTGATGGGTAAACGTTCTGGTAAAAAAAAATGCGTTCTTGTGTTTATGAGCCTGCATTACTGTTAGAAGAGAATTGTTATCGCACTTTTTAGCCTGAATGTAGATATTTAAGCATGTTTGAAATCCACACTGAATTGAGGAATTATCATTAATATTGCGCCAAAAACATTGTTTAGCGTCACTGAACTCTGCGATTCAGCACAATGAGATGCTGAGAGGTGGGAGAGCATCACAATGAGTGAGCGGCTGTCGTTGGAAAAGCCATATGGTGTTTTATGTCCACATTCTGGATCTGGCTGGAGGGTGGACATGTCAGCCGAAAGTGAAAAATTCTTGAATGCAATCGCTCCCAACTTTTTCCCCCTCTTCCTCTCTTTCTCTCTCCTTCTGCTCCTTTGTTTCTCATTATGGCTATTTTTTTAATTTTCGCTCTGGCAAAACCTCAAAACAGTGGCACTGTTTCCAGATGTTGCGCTGCCCTCTTTGCCACAGAAGTTTAATGTACAGATGCTTGTTTTTGGCCACGCTACATCAATTGCAATGCATAGTTTTAACAGATGTTTTGACTTACTATGTTGGCTGCAAAGTATTCAGTTGTTAACTGTAGTAATCATCCTTTCACGTACTTCTGGGACAGCGTCACGGGGATTTATATTTTTTACTACTGAACTGAACTGTCACAATTCAGCTCAGCAGGAGAGGTTTAATCCAGAATGCATGTGAGCTTTTTAGGCTGCACTGATTGGAAAGGGGTCATCACAGAAGCCAGGAAATGTGTATGGGTGAGACTGATCAATGCCAACAATATCCGCACAAGATTTGGTTTATTTCACTTATTGTTAGCCACTGAGTTTGTGCGGATTCAGCGGGTTCGCAGCACAGTTATAGTCTCTACTACTTTCACATCACTGTGCTAGTCGGGCAGAAATAGCCTCCTCAAAGCCAGTGGCATCGTCTTCGTCCACCACAGAAAGAGGCTGCTGAACAAAATGCACAAGAAAGTGCTTGGAGAGGGTTTGACAAGTTGAATTTCTTTTCATAAAAGCGCACTGTTCATCGTCTGCCACTGACCACTGAGTCAGAAGGGTTTGCGAAATCCTCCCACACACTGCCTAGTGTGTTCATTATATACCCTAAACCCCATCCAATCCAAAGCTGTAGCTGCGTGGGAATTTTGTAAACCTGCTGCAGTCAAAGGAGCGACACCTGATTTTAACAGGTATTCTACCGTGATTCAGACTTTTGCGGCTCCAGAGGAGGGAAACAGGAGAAAATGATGGTGAAGTGAGGGAAACGCCGCCCTCCCAGAACAGCAGCAACTACCAGAAGTTATGCGTCTCACCTGGCCAGGTTCAGCACCGGGGCTGTTACGTAACGGAGCCGCATCTGCCACCAATTGCGGCTTCTCTTCCTTGTCCCAGTTTAGAGTGCACCAGCAGGGCCAGACTGCTCCGCCACGCTCTGAGCTCTAAACCACTTCCTGCGCCGTCTCCACAGGGCAGCCTCGTTAGCGCAGCCAGACACCCTGTCCCTCATTAGGCCAGTCAAGTAATAAACAAGTCAAGCAACACTACAACAGGCCACTTATACCTCGGTGTTGTTTGTTTTGCTGAAGAAAACCCACCTTGCTTCTGGTGCTGTTACACAATCTCAAACTTGTGCTGTTTAAAGGCTTCGTTAACAGTGTAACCCTTGGCCTTACTTTTTAATGTGCTTACTGAAATTAGAAAACACACATCGGCAGATGTGGTACAAAACAAAACAAAACACAAACTGACTCCGCTTTTTAGCAAAAAAAAGCCGTTTCCAACTCACACAGTGTCGGAATGGGTACACGCTGTGGTTTGACTGTGCGCTACCCAGATGGATGGAACTAAGGTCTCACGTCTGAATCCACTGGACTCCCATCGCTGATGATCGACGTAACCTCTCTGTTTGACTGCAGGGTATTATCTTGATCCAGCTTTGTTACCCTCTGTTTGTTGTAGGACTGGAATCGCACATGGTACACAGCCAACCCAGACCTGACCCAGTGTTTCCAGAACACAGTGCTGGTGTGGGTGCCGTGTATTTATCTGTGGCTGTTGGCGCCTTTCTACTGCCTTCACCTCTACTGCCATGACTCCGGACGCATTCGAATGTCCTGCCTCTGCTGCGCCAAGACGGTGAGACTTCACTTTATTGTCCAAAGCTTTTCACACAAAAGAAAAACTGTTTTAATTTACCTCAACGTAAATCTTAATTATCGACTGAAAATGTGACAGCTTTTACTACTTTTTTGTCCCATGCAGATGTTGGGCTTCCTGCTGGCCTCCTTTGGCTTTGTGGAGTTCTTCTACATACTGCTGGAGAGGAGTCAGGAGATCGAGCAGCACATGGTCTTTTTACTGAGCCCCATCATACGCAGCATGACTGTGGTAAATACCGTGTCTCGTTTCCCGTTGTGCTGTTCACACACACATTTTATTTATCTAAACTGGGAATTATCTGATCCATTTCAATTTCAAGCTTTTTTGGTGCCGTCAAAGCGAAGGGCCTTTTTTGACTGCTTGTATGGATTTAAGGATTTAATGGCACTAGCAGTGAGGTTACGGACTGCAAAGAACTGAATACCCTTCTACTACTTTACTTTGGAAAATCAAAAATTAAGAGTCTTCGAGGCTAATGCAGAATCTGTAGACTGAATATATCAATTGGAGTTGATTAGTGCGACAATAGACCTTGCTTTGTGGGATGTCAATTTGCAGCCTTGAGTTATTTTGGCCATCACCAGCTTGTTTTTTTCCCTTTACATCTTGATTTTGAATAAGATATTTTTAGATTATGTAAAAGGTTACAATTACCTTTCCTGAACCGAAAACACACTGAAAAAGTGTTAAAAGTGGAGAAAATTAAAATAAACAACTCCCAGACCATGAAATTATCTTTACAATGTTTGCAAGCGTAATAAAATTAATGAGAATCAGTCATTTTCTCATATATTTAAACACATTTTAAAAACCTTTTGCACCCAGAGGTGTCTTCTCCTGATGGCCATTAGAGAGAATGAATGGAAGAGAAATCAACAATAATTTAAATTGTTGTCTGGGCATTAAGTCCAGTTTGAAGACTCATCCATCTAAAACAGAATTTAACAGAAAAGTGCCTTTCATACATACCTAATTGTTTCACATTGTGTGTTAATTGTTGAACCATTATAAAACTGTTGACAGGTCCTGAAATAATTGAAATAACTTCCTATTTCAAAGCAATTTCACAAGTCTCTATAAATAGGGAAATATGAATACTCTGTTGTAAATTCTTGATCAAGTATGACATTCATACTGACATGTGAGGGAATGGCAAAATAATAAGGCAATTTTTCATTAGTTTATTAGTTGCTCTAAGTATTGAGCTCACCCATCTGACATCCCTCCAGGGTTGCTCTGGGTAACAGAAGTTTTGGGAATATTTTTACTTGATCCCCGCTGGCTCACATGTTTATAAGAATATACAGCCTATGTATGTGTTGGACAGGCACTGAGGTGCAAAGATGCTTAACCAGGTTAGATTTATAGTGTGCAGGCAATGCAAATATCACAGTACCCTGTGAACGCCGCCAGTATTTGACCACCACTCATCAGTGTGCAGTGTACATGTGTAGTGACATCAGCTACTATTTGATGTTGAATTGAACTGTCTACGTAAGTGCAAAGTTTCAATTCAACGAAAAATGTGCTTGGTAGGTGCTGTGCAAGTGAGAGGCCATATGTCAAAAACAAAAATAATGTATATATACCCAAAAAGAATTGAGAGGCTTTACTATTTCCCACACCATTGCCATTTCAGGATGATCTTAGTCAGAAACTGTGACGACTGAGTCACTCATAAACTCCAAGTTGACAGTCAGCACTTTTCCACCCAAAGTTATTAAATTTAAATGAGTTGTACAGTGATGGCAGCGTGTTGACTCATTATGCACTTTAAGTCAAGCTCATCCGAATCTCTTCCAACCTTTTTGTTCATCTTTTAAAAAACACAAAACCACCAAATACATCGGCGATGAAACACAATTGTCGTCAAACCTAATTACACAGAAAGCTCCAGTCTTTTATAGGCAAGGCTACGGGTGTGGACTGTTGCACTGGTTTGATGCCAGTTCCTTATTTGAGTGCCATTGTTCTGACCAAAACTGTATTTGTTGCGATGCAGAATGAGCTCCAAACATTCATTTAACTTAACCTTGGAATAAGAACCTGAGGTCTTGAATAAACATAACCATCCCCAAATTCTAGTGAAAAATAGTGCACATTTATATTGCTCAGGTCTGAGGAGGAAGAAGTGCTAACTGAAATGTTGGGATCCATTTACGTGGTATAGATGAGATGTGTAATCTTTACAAATGGTGTTTGTCTTACTTTCAAGCATCTTTAATCAAACTATAACCCCCAGAGAGGTATTTATAGAAGACACTGGCTGCTGTGCAATCAGAGAAGGGTTTCAGAGGCTTGTGTTGATGAAAACAACCCTGAACATGGACCCCGCTCATTTTCATTTGATGAATGTAACTACAGTGATGAGTAGGCGCCCAGAGAAAAGGGTGCGGCCGACCACATGGATGGAAAGTTTAAAATGCTGTCTGTCTTGAGACGGAGTGACGTAACATTTACAACGCAGTACAGTACAGGTTTCCTGTGGCCCGCTGAGCTGTTTACTCACCGAGCTTCCTCTCTCTGCGGCCTCATACATGTACTGCCGTCTCAGACAGCCCACCTGTGGTCTTTTCTGGCTCCTGAGTCAATAGCAAAACACGTTTGGGTAAAAATACACTGATATAGTTAAACGATTTTTCAGGCCAAAGGGAAAGACAGCAAACATTTACTACACCCAGACCTCGAGCTTGTCACCAATCTGCAAATGCACCTGCCAGACTATCTCTATTGAAGGATATAACTTTCTTGATCGTAGCCGTCCACCATCAGCCGTTCCCTGAGTGCAGGACTGGAACACTGTGCGCTTGTTGCTCAGGGTTTGGTAACAGTTTTCAGCCCACACATCGTGGTCACTATTGATGAAAAGCACACACGACACTGACTATAATCGGCAATACCATGACGTAAAAGTCCCATTCCTTCCCAAGAGCTGCACACTTCCCGTGTAATTATAGGGCAGGGTTTTGATTTGGGGCTCATTGATGGACTTGGTTCCACCCACGGATGGTTTGGAGCAATATGGCAAGTTAGAAGGGAGGGCATGAAAAGCAGGGTTCTTGCCCTCAGATCCTGACCCGAGGTCAGCTTTATGAGTCAACCACCTATACTAAGGTTTGGATTGAGGCTGATGCAGCCTCTACCTCTTTAGCACTAAACGCACCAGCAATCTAGGACATAAAGGTCTTACCATGGGTCTGGTGCTGCCCGGTGACCAGAGGAAACTTGAAAAGTTGATCAAAACTAGAGAGGAAAAAATTACACATATATTTGGCTTACATTTTACAGCTGCAGTAATCCATATTTTAAAATCCACAATAGATGAAATGACCGTGTGTATCTCATATAGTGATGAAAACAAAAAAGATCATCACAGACTGTAGTTGCCCTCAGCTATTTCTTTAAAAATATTTCCGCTAATTGTGTTGGTTTGGTACCCTTTTAGAATAAAGTACATTAACAATCCTCTGTGCACTATGTCTCCAGCACCAATCAGCAGAAGTGGTTAGTGAGAAAATAACAGAGCATTTGGCTACCAGAGAGACAAATTTTTCTTTCAGGAGTTGATGGAGATGAAATCGGAGCTAAAAGGAGAGTAACTATAGTACCCACATTCATGAGGTGGATGCAAACACTGTAACGTTGCTTCATTATGACTGGATGCGTAAACTGTTTGCCAACATGTTTGCAATTAAAATTTCACAGGATGATATTACGTCAATTATTTGCTTACATATTTTATATTCCAATTGGCCAAAAGAATGGTAATAGTAATTGTTATCGGTCGATTCTCGCCTCTACGCACAGTTCGTTTCGTCCACTCTTTATTTGCGCTTTCGGCTCAAACACGCAGTAAAGTGGACTGGAGACTCTAAATTCCCCATAGGTATGTCTGTAAATGCCTGTCTCTCTGTATTCCTCCTTCAATAGGCTAGTATCAAGTGTGCAGGGAAAATGAATGCACATAAGAATAAAGAATCAGTGTGTCACCACATTTAATGGAAAGTGTTGTTTGAATCTACCGGAGCGGATGAGGATCTTTACCCTCACAAAACAGAATTCTGTACACATCTCCCCGAGGAATGTATAGGGTTGTTGATGTGAAAAACGTATATAATTACAAAGCCGCTGTGGTTTATAACAGGACACGTCTGTGGCTCATCTCAAAGTAACCTAAAGCTGCTTTGGGCCGGCAGGACAACGTGACGTTTCACTGGCCAACCACTCACAGAGGGACCAATTACAGTGGTTCAGGAGCAGATGAGTGACTCCTCTGAGACAACAGCGTCGAAACCCTGAATCCGGCCAATTTTTGGGAACACGTCCCGCTATAGAACTTGTTTGTTTTTTAAAGGATAGTATGTGTTCATGCACGGCATGCAGCATACCATGCATTCCTTTTTTTTGCAGGCCTGAGGTCAGCTGGAAACCATCAGTTCTTTCTCAAAACCACAATAGACTACATTAAAGTGAATATGCCTTCACTGTTAAACAGGTTTGCATTAACATATGCAATTGATATGGGAGAGAGGGCTTTATTTCTTTGCATTTTTTGGTTTAGAACTAGCATGCGAACATAAAGCTAATGGGTTGGTGAACAAGATTTGTTTTTCTTTCAAAAAGCTAATCCCTGCTTAGAAATGATGTTTTTCTTGTTCTTATTGAAGATTATAGTGCTGTCTAAATCAGGGATTGCTTCCTCTCCTGTGCTATGAGACCCCAACATAAAGTCCCCCTATAACTCTGTGTCTCCCTCTCTAGATCTTGGCCTTATGCATCATCCAGTTGGAAAGAATACGAGGCTGTCGTTCCTCTGTATTCCTCTTCCTCTTCTGGGTCTTGGCCGTGGTCTGTTCCCTGGTTCCTCTAAGAGCGAAGATCCAGCTGGCCATGGATGAGGTATGTCTTTAGACTAATTAATGTTCAGTATTGACAAAATAACATTATTTCATTAAACAATACATCAGTGCATTCCAAGCATCCCAAAATGCCCTTGAAGAAAGTGTGTTTGTCAGGTTTGAACTCGGTGAACTCTCCGGGATAAATAATCAGGTCCACTTCTACCCGTAGTCTAGACACACGACTCCAGCAGCGCAGCTTGAGACAAACCCTCTGTTTCATCCCCGCGTTTCAACCGAGGTAGCCGACGTTAACCAAGCGTTGGAGGACGGCACTGACAATTCCGCTTGTGTGTGTTTAAGTTTTCCTTTTCTTCCCCGTGCCTCGCGTCAGACACTGCAATCACTGTCGTGTGGGGTAAGCTTCTATTTAAGTGCACACTGCAGCCGTGGGGCAGTCGCATTTGCATTTCTATAAAAACACACAAACAAACACACATCCATATTTCTGTTTTATCGTCCTCAGTGTGACATTCCCACACTGCTTGGGGGAGAGTAATGATGGCCCTTGGATAAATGCTGGTGAGACATGGCAGCCCAGGGTCAGACCAGAGGAACGTCAGTGCTGTGTTGCGGTGCCATTTGGAAAAGGCAATTCACTAAACCATAAAACCAAAAAAACTAAAGGTTCTCCTGCTACAGAGAGCAATAATTTGACATTTGGATACGCTTGCTAAAAAAACTAATAAGCTAAGCACAAAGACTTGATGAAAAAGCTAACTTTACTTTTTCCAAGTTTGGTTGCATATTGTGGACCTAACTGGCTGATATCTCCAGCATTGTGGTGTTATTACAGTAAGTCTTGTTTTACTACGCTGCTGCTGACTGAGTTACTATTGCAGGGCAATTCATCTGACATGGTAAAGATTACTTTACTCCTGCAAGAAGTATTTGTGCCAACATTTGTGTTGCCCAGTTTAGCCGTTTGTCCGTGTCTAGTGTGTCAACTCACATTAAATACACACATTGTGAATATTTATGAAGACAGTGTCTAATTCACATCGCAGCGTTGATGGCCTGAGTTGACTAACCTCCTGTTTGTCGATCCTCGGCCATTTTTAAGTCGCCTGACCCACATTTTTCCACCCACTCCCCGACCACCCTGACCCTTTTTTCACTGTGTGGCCGGATCCATTTGGCCCCATTCATATCTCCTTTCTGGGCACAGCACCACACTTTCAGAGGGATGTTTTTACTGTTTGCCATCTGACTTTCATGCACACCCGTTGCATGCACGTTGCACAGACTGGCTGTGGCAGTGGCCTTGACCAAATAGTAAACAATGCACCTGCCAAACCCCCAAATTTCTGTACTTCAAGAATAACAAGTCCCTTATACATTTCACAAAAGTCTCAGAGTGGTTAATATCGCAGCTACTCCCTTGATTGACTGTGACTGGACTGGTTTGTACAACCACAATCTCTCTATTTACAGATACAGGCTCTTAGCGTGGCTGAGAGGCACCTATAACTATCACTTCATTTATATAAAGTACACTATTAACGCCTGGGTTCTCACTCTGATTTAGCTTAAAGGTCCAAAATACTTTTTATTGTGTCTGTGATCTTAAATAATACGTCCGCTATACATTGTAAGAATGCAAAAGCAAGGTGTTCAAGTTGCAGGTTATTGTGTGATTTTTTAATAATGTTGAAAGGAAGGAAACAGCCAAAACACAACGATCACGTTGAAAACCTCACGTCTTATTTTAAGAGCAATGTTTTTGTTATTTGGAATGTGCTCGGCCAAAAAGCCAATTAATTGTGTCCTTTGCTTAACATATAAGTCTAACTATAAAAAACCTGTCTGGAATGGTTCAACACAGATAAACAGAAAGGACAAAAGGGCAAAAGACTGGTATTTTCAGCCCTGTAGCAGCTTCCTTAATCTGTGCTCTCTTATTCCACAGGGAATTTCCTCAGACATCGTACGATACTTCGCCTTCTTCTCCTACTTCACAATACAATTGGCCCAGCTCTTCCTCTGTTGTTTTGCTGACAAGCCAGCCGAGGGAAAAAAACTCTTGGAAAAGGTAGGCGTAGGAGAACGCATCCCACTTCCGTCAGAAACATCCACACCTATTTGTTACCTGGGAAAGGAAACGTCTGTTGTCAAGATGTTTTCCCTTTTGCAGGAAATGATGTGTTTCACACTCTTCCTTCCTTCCGCTCTCACTACACCACTTTGGCTTCCTAGTGCTAATGTGTGTGTTTGTGGTTGTTCTTCTGCATACCATCGCCACGACTCATTCACTACAGCGCCGGACAACATCAGGACCGCTGCTGTTACAATGCAACAGCAAAGGCCTTACTCAATACATATCTCACCATCCCAACAAATATGAACCCCATGACACTCGAGCTCCAAATAGCAAGCAGCTGACAGGTTCATGAAAATGAATTTGTAATCAATCAAAAAGACGTGTGACGCAACGTTTCCCCAGTGATGAAATTAAAATAATAGTCCCTATGTAAAGTCCCTATGAAGCCCTTGGCTTGTATTGAAGAGGCTGAGGGGGCAGAAGCCGCAGTCTGGCGTGGCGGACGCACCCATTGGTCGCTCTTTGGCGTGTCCTACTTGTCCTCCTCCACCTTCTCCTCCTCTCCGCCCTACGCTCTGGGTAGAGTTACTCACAGGAAGTACGAGCAAGAGCGCTGGAGATGAAGTGAGCAGGGTGGAGAGACGCCATGAAGACACATTTTCTCTGTGTATCAACTCGTTGGACAGTTTGTGATTAGAGGTTTCGTTCTGTTTGAGCTAGACCTCAAAACGTCATCCCCCGCCCGTGACACTGAACTCTATTTATTCTGTCCTGTGGGAGTGCATGGCCTCACCCGACTGTAGACACATTAGCGTACTTAAACACACTCCTCACTAGTGCGCCATTCAATCATCACCCGACGACTTCTGTGAAGCTGTGCGTGTCTAAAAGGCCGCGAAAACAACATTGAGTCCAGTCTTTAACCTGTTGCAGAATCCCTGTCCCGTGAAGGACGCCTCTTTTCTGTCAAAGATTCTCTTCTGGTGGTTCACTGGGTAAGATGGTTCTTCCAAAACCCGTCATTTTTTGGCTTAGGCCGAGCGACAGCAATATGTGTGTTTTGTTGACGATTGTGTGTGTAAAAAATCATCCTCCCCAGGCTTGTTGTGAAAGGATATCGCACCCCGCTGGAAGCAGAGGACTTGTGGACCCTGAGAGAGGAAGACACGTCGCGCAAGATAATAGCTGAGCTGGAGGAGGACTGGACGGATGAATGTGCCAAAGTTCAAAAGTGAGAGCCTCGGACAATTTGGTATTGAACTTTCGTAAAAGTTGAGTTAAGCGAGTACAAGGCATGCGTGTCCTGCACAAAGAATACATTTTGCGGCCAAACATCAGCATGGCGTCGGTTGAATTTATGACCCAAGCAGAGCGGGACCATGATTGCAGCAAATTGGAATTTGGGATGTGTCATCGCCAAAAGCATTTTGGGCCACAAATAGGTTCAAAGCGGTCCCTCGAGCACACAGATCACCATCATGTCAATGGATAATGTCAGTGAATAATGTCTTTTACTAGTGGCCAATTATTGAGTCCATCGTTGATGGTGCGAATAACAACAGCCTGTTTTACATTAAAGACTGGAAAGGCGCAGCATCATGACACAGATGGATTGTCTGTAACAACAGCTTGTTCTCTTGCAGGCAGGAGAAGGCCTTAGCGGCGGGTGCGGCGCTGGGGAGCAGATTACCAGACCAGGCGCAGCTCCTCAGGAAGCTGCAGAAGGAGCAGAGCTCCGGCTTTTTCCTGCTCAGGACGATGGCACGCAAGTTCGGTCCGTACTTTCTGACCGGCACCCTGTATATTATATTCCACGATGCCTTCATGTTCGCCATCCCCCAGGTGCTGAGGTAAGAAACAGGAAGAGGTCATTGAAACCATCACAATGAGTGCAATCTGTCAAAATGAATTCAAATGAAATGCTTCTTTGAGATTTGCCCAATATTTGTATAGATTGTCTGTCTCTGGAACCAGTCCCACGAAGCTCAGGTTTATTTGGTTTTACACTTCCAAAGAGCACCACAAATAAAAAGATAATACACAAAAGATTATTGATTTGAAGTACAGTTGGTATCGCAAATGACCATACTTGGAAAATGTTGTTTTTCAAATATCGCTTTCCCAGCTTCTCAGTGTTTGGAGTCCCACAAACCATACGGCGTTGCGAACTCTGTATCAAGGAAAGTTGCAGCCAATATTTCAAAACCTCAGCTCAGACTGAAATTACCTTGATTGACTCCAGTCGAGAGTAAAATTAGGTTTTATAGGGATTTTGTGGGCGTTGACTGTCCAATTTAGGGATTTAGGCAGAAGAGAGTACATTTTCCTGGTATTATTTAAATAATCATTGGTTAGGCAGATACTCCGTGCTCCACATATGGATACACTTTTGTGTCTAAACAAATGGTTAACAAGATATCCCCTTCATTGTCCTGTTTTTCAATGATTTGTGGCTCGAGCAACAACAGACGCTGGCAGCAATGAAAACAGGTTACGCTGCTCAATCGTACCAGCCAGACTGGAATGTTGTTGTTGATGCACAAACAATCAGTGGAAGTGGTAATTACGGTCATGGAGCTGTGAGCAGATAAAGTAGACGACGAGACCGCAGCCCTGTGTTCTCCATTGAGGAGGACAGGCCTGGAGGGAGAGCAGCCTGTAAACAGCAGAAATGCTGTCGTACCACAATAAGGGAAGCGCTGGCCAAGTGTGAGCGTCGCTGGTTTAGGGACACAGTGAAAGTCACATAATACCACATTGACTTTAAAAATAAGAAGGGTTCGGTAAGCTCGTCTGTGACTGCTTTCATTGGTTTCACTGCGCTCCAGGGAAAACCAGACATAGTAACTGAGTTTTTTTTTTTTTTATTGGACTAACATGCATTTAAAAACCGAACATCCGGGTTAAGTATTAACTTCCTCCTCCGCAGTCTTCTTCTGGATTTCATGAGGGATGAAGATGCTCCGCTGTGGAAAGGCTACTTCTACGCCACTCTGATGTTCCTGCTGTCCTGTCTCCAGTCCCTCTTCAACCATCAGTACATGTACACATGCTTCACAGTGGGAATGAGGGTGAAGACAGCTGTGATGGGCTTGGTTTACAGGAAGGTGTGTAAATTTGCATCCACGGACATGTAGCCGCCAACCTCGTGAATCACGTCTTAAACGGCAAAAACAACAGCTGTCTCTCCTTCCAGACAGGAAAATCGAGCAAGATTACCAGTTTTTTTTAGTCTAAAATGAATAATCGTCTGGTATCTTTTTGAGTGTGCAGTTCTATATTGGACAGCTGAAATGTCTTTTGTTGTCAATCCAGTCTTTGGTGATAAACAGCTCTGCCAGAAGGACTTGCACTGTGGGCGAGATTGTGAATCTGGTTTCGGCGGACACTCAGAAGCTCATGGACTTTGTGGTGTACTTCAACGCCGTCTGGCTGGCTCCCATTGAAATTTCTCTTTGTCTCTTCTTCCTCTGGCAGGTATGTCCAAATGTTTTTCCACTGCCCCTCATTCATGCACAACTGCCAACTTGACACCGTTTCAATCTTTATTTTATTCAGCATCTCGGGCCGTCGGCTTTGGCAGGAATCGCCACTGTCATTCTCATTTTCCCCCTCAACGGATTAATAGCAAAGAAAAGAAGCAAGCTTCAGGTAAAAGCGTGACAGGAATTTTCTGACTTTTCGTTCCTGACATCTGGCATGTTGGGTCGGGGATGTCGCAGCTGGTTTAGATAGTGGCTGAAGAGCCACGTGGGTGTTTTGGCTTGGATGCTACATTCTCCCTTGTCCTTTTGATGTCCATCCCATATAACGTGCTTAAAAGACAATGAAGGGAAAGGGTGGCAGTAGGCGGGCATAACATTTAATTTCATTGGAAAAACAACAGACTGTAAATTTAGATGGCAATTTAATCAAACTTATTCTTGAATGCAGTGACCACATTGCACGCCCTTTGTTGTTTACTTGTACAAGAATCACTAAAATGTAACAAGCAATACTTACTGAATTGAACAATTTATATGATGTTCAGGAAAATGACTACAGTTGTGATGAGTGCCGACCAAATACATGCGTATTTGCTTTGATGTGGTAATGTATCTCTAGTGTGTGACTATCTTACAATAGTTTAATTGTCTTCACGACAAAAATAAATTGCTCACGTCTGGTCAACAGGAGGTGCAAATGAAGTTCATGGACGGACGCATCCGACTGATGAATGAGATCCTGAGTGGAATAAAGATCTTGAAGTTTTATGCCTGGGAGAAGGCCTTCCTGGAGCAGGTTTTGGGACTAAGAGAAAAGGAGCTCAAAGCCCTGAAGAAGTCTCAGATCCTTTATTCAATCTCCATCGCGTCCTTCAACTCCTCTTCTTTCCTGGTAATAGCACAAAAATAGCTATCAATAAAAAGGGTACATGTAATTCGAGGCACTGCAAGTCTAACACAAATTGATTGGATTGGAGAAATGTATAATAACACCAGCCTTATCCTATAAATTGTGTCTCCAAAGATCCTCCAGTCTTTTCCCTAATATTCCCTCTATTTGTCCCAAAGATTGCCTTCTCCATGTTTGGAGTCTACGTGATGCTTGATGACAGGAACGTCCTGGATGCACAGAAAGTTTTTGTCTCAATGGCGCTGATCAACATTCTGAAGACCCCACTCAGTCAGCTTCCATTTGCTATAAGCACAACTATGCAGGTAGGTTGTATTGTAATGTCGTATGTGATTGTTCTTTTTTTTGTACTTCCATGGTGCATGATATGTTATTATGTGCTCTGTTAACTAACGCTGTTACTGTTCCAGGCTATGGTTTCACTGAGACGTCTGGGAAAATACCTGTGCTCAGAGGAGCTGAGAGAAGACAATGTCTCAAAGGCTCCGTTCTGTTCTGGTACGAGCCCCACCCATGTATCAACTTCAACATTAAATGACATTATGTCATTATTCCGCACGGTTCACCACATTCCACAATATGGTCCCTGTACTGCCTTAAATCATACGCTGTCATAATCAATATCAACAACCCGCAAGATTATGTTGTTGTTATTTCTGTGGAGCCCCAAAAACCTTGTATGGATCATACGCGCTGTCACTTTCTGCGTCCCTGGCTAACTGGTAGACAGGGTAATGATATGATGTCCCCACTTAGTGGTTGGATGTAAATCACAGCATGAATTCAGACCTATGATTCATAGAGAAAGAATATAGAGAAGCCCTGCAGTTCTCGGTATGTAATCTGTCAACACTTCCTAAGACAGCTTGTGAAAAAGCAACAGCTCTGTAATTTGCATGATTAAGCTAATTCACTTGTAATTACGCCCAGGCTGAAACTTCAAGGGGGATTTTTGTTTTGAAGGTTTGTTTGTTACTCAGGTTGAAAGAACAGCATTTATTGCAGGTTTTCTTCACTTAACTCAACATTTCTTTCTTGCTAAGATGGGGAAGACGTGGTGATAGAAAACGGCAATTTTAGCTGGTCTGCTGAGGGCCCTCCATGTCTGAAAAGGTACGAGTTTAAAAAAATAATGAAATGTAATTTAACATAAAAACAAAAAGTGTAACAGAAGAAAATGTTTCTTTGTTGACAGGATCAGTATCCATGTGCCACGCGGCTCCCTCGTCGCTGTGGTCGGCCATGTGGGCAGTGGAAAGTCCTCCTTGTTGTCCGCCATGCTCGGCGAAACAGAGAAAAGAAGTGGCTGCGTCACAGTAAAGGTATTGAGTGTTTTACATGAAGGTTCAATTCTCAGTCGTGAGTTTCATTTCATCAATGCTGACGGCTTGACTATTGACGTATGTCTTCACAGGGCTCGGTGGCGTATGTGCCCCAGCAGGCCTGGATCCAGAATGCCACGGTCCAAGACAACATTTTATTCGGCCGTGAGAAACTAAAGACATGGTACCACCGAGTGCTGGAAGGCTGTGCACTGCTGCCCGACCTCGAAATCCTACCTGCTGGAGACGCTACCGAAATTGGAGAAAAGGTTTTGAAATGGAGAAATAGAAGATACATGTTTTTTCTTCTTTATCTCCAAATCCCTTGAGGTTATCTAAACCTTTGAATCCTTGTGTCTCTGCAGGGATTGAACCTCTCAGGTGGGCAGAAGCAGAGGGTGAGCCTGGCTAGGGCCGTCTACAGAAAGGCGGATGTGTACCTCATGGATGATCCTCTGTCTGCTGTCGATGCACATGTAGGCCAACACATCTTTGACAAAGTCATTGGACCAAAAGGAGTCCTTAGAGACAAGGTAATACATGTAACATAACCAAAGTGCATTTCAGCTGCAAGAAGCTAAAACGCGGTCTTACAATAACTTGAACCACTTACGTGGCATGAGCTGCTGTTCAATACGGAAACCACCATTTTGCTGACACTTTTGTTTTGAAGAAAGCCTCAATTAAGTACGGGGTTGTGCTTACATGCTATTTTACTCACTTGTGTGGCTTTCTCAACAGACCCGCATCCTAGTGACCCACGGGATGAGCTTCCTGCCGCAGGCTGACTTCATCCTCGTCTTAGGAGACGGAGAAATCACAGAGAGCGGCTCCTATCAGGAGCTCCTAAGCCGCCATGGCGCCTTCGCTGACTTCATTCACACCTTTGCCAACGCCGAGCGAAAAGAGAGTGCCATACAGAGAGGTGAGAAGCATTCTGTCAAAAGACGACCGTGCAAATCAAATTCAGTCTGTGCAGAAAGGAGGACCTAAAGATCCCAATGGTGAACCCCTAAATGTCCCTTTCTTGAAGCTGGTTCCAGGAGGTCCAATGCTCGTCTCAGCATGGTGGACTTCATGCCATCTTCCAGAGACCTGTCCCAGGAGCAGCTCATCGGGTGTGTAAACAATCATGTAAACTGAAAATTTGTGATAAAGATGTTTGGCATCCCAAGCATGACCTCCGAGCGTCTCCGTATTGTGCAGGGGTGACACGACAAATACAAACCTGCAGAACATGGAGCCCGTGTCCGAAACAGACCAGGAACCGGTACCAGAGGACTTGGGCAAGCTAACTGAGGCTGACAAGGCCCGCAGTGGAAGGGTAAGTCTGAACGTTGCTTTTGACGTTTTTGAGATTCAGCACTGGCTAAACATGAATTATTATCAGATAAAACATGAAATGGTTGATACAATCATCATCTGATTCTTTGAGATGCATCGTGTTGTACTGCTATTCTGCTGTTCTTCTATCAGGTGCGGTTGGCGACGTACAACAAGTACTTCAAGACCATCGGCTTGGCCATCATCGTTCCCATAGTCTTCCTGTACGCTTTTCAGCAAGGCGCCTCATTGGCCTACAACTACTGGCTGAGCGTGTGGGCTGACGACCCGATCGTCAACGGCACCCAGACCGACACGGACCTGAAACTGATCGTGTTTGGTGCGCTTGGCTTTGTGCAAGGTCAGTTCCAGAGCTTTAAATATCGCCAAAGCTCAACCCGATGAAGAGTCGACCCCGGTTTGTTGATGTTTGCCTCTGATGTGATCTGAACGCGCTCCCCCCTTCCTTCAGGCATCGCCATCTTTGGTACGACGGTCGCCATCTCCGTCTGCGGCATCATCGCCTCTTCCCATCTGCACGCGGACCTGCTGATCAACGTGCTGCGCTCTCCGATGTCTTTCTTTGAGTGCACGCCCAGCGGCAACCTTCTCAACCGCTTTTCCAAAGAGATCGACGCCATCGACTGCATGGTCCCAGACGGCTTGAAGATGATGTTGTGCTACGTCTTCAAACTCATGGAGGTCTGCATCATTGTGCTGCTGGCGATGCCCTTTGCAGCCGTGGTCATCCTGCCTCTGGCTTTACTTTACGCATTCGTCCAGGTACATTTCTCCACCAACATTTAAACTCACCGCAAATCAAATGTTTTCTTTGAGAGTTTCATGTCAAAGGTGACTCAGCAAGAGCTGGCTTCCATTAAAGTGTATTATTGGAAAGCTCCGGGCCCAAAACCAACCCTGCTGATTTTGCCATTCACTTGTGTTTTGTTTCCCAACTTGCTGACATGGATGTTACACACATTCCCCACGAATTATGGGAAAGCCCTCGCTGCTCCCTCTTGTTTTCACTCATTAAACGTGTGTTTTATTTTTCCACCGCGCCTACAGAGCTTCTACGTCGCCACATCCTGTCAGCTGAGGAGGCTGGAAGCCGTGAGCCGCTCGCCCATCTACACTCACTTCAACGAGACGGTGCAGGGCGCCAGCGTGATCCGGGCCTTTGGCGAGCAGTCCAGGTTCATTCTTCAGACTAACAAGAGGGTCGACTTCAATCAGACCTCTTACTTCCCTAGATTTGTGGCCACCCGGTGAGATGATGTGATGATTATAATGTGCTCTCATTTCACACAGAAGGACTTTTGGCTTAAGTAATAAGGATACATTTTGGTAGTCGCCTGCCAACAACTAAATCAATATTGCATCCACAGATGGCTGGCAGTCAACCTGGAGTTTGTTGGCAATGGTGTGGTCTTAGCTGCCGCCATACTCTCTGTGATGGGAAAAGGCACCCTGAGCCCAGGCATAGTTGGTTTGGCTGTGTCACACTCCCTCCAGGTAAGAGACTCTGCCTGCAGACACACTCACACGCATTCTCACACAGCAGTTCTGGAAGTTTCCCAGTAGCCGACTTATTACGAACAAAGACAGCCGACTCCCCACACCGCACGGCACTGTGCGATTGCCATTGGAGCTTAAAATTGAGACAGTGGAATATAAATGCGTTGCTTTTTGCTCAGCAAATGCACTTGTCGGCACAGGAACGTATAAGATCTAAAGTAAACCTAAGTGTTGGATATTTACAGGTGACTGGAATCCTGAGTTGGATTGTGAGATCCTGGACTGATGTGGAAAACAACATTGTGTCCGTGGAGAGAGTCAACGAGTATGCTGATACTCCTAAAGAGGCAAGTGTTCCCACCGCACCCACACAAACACATCACAGCTCCAAACACAAAATCCAACATGAAAAAACAAAAGTTTTGGTACTCACCCTTCCTTATTGTCTAATGCAGGCGAGTTGGAGTATTGAAGGCAGCTCCTTGCCCCCGGACTGGCCACAGAGGGGCACCATTGAGTTCCAGGACTATGGGCTGCAGTACCGTAAAGGCCTTGAGTTGGCTCTGAAGGGCATCACCTTACAAGTTCACGAAAGAGAGAGAGTGAGTCATTTTGTGTCATTTAACCATCTTACGTCTGGATGTTTTGCATTTCTTGTATTATGTTGTATACACATTCTGACTAAAAACCTCTTTTCCAGGTTGGAATTGTGGGCCGGACAGGAGCAGGGAAGTCCTCGCTAGCCCTGGGAATCTTCAGGATCTTAGAGGCTGCAAAGGGAAAGATCTTAATAGATGGCGTCGACATCGCCGACGTCGGACTCCATGACCTCAGATCACGCATTACTATCATTCCTCAGGTGCGACAGTGGTAATAACAGGATTTGAGCCTTGGCTTTCATCACATAAACTGTTTGTAATAGCTGCAATCTGTATCTAATGAAGAATAAGCCATTCTAAATTATCGTAAGTGTGTTACCGGTGGTGAATAACACGTGCCGTCCTCTATCAGGACCCGGTGCTGTTCTCAGGCTCCCTCCGAATGAACCTCGACCCCTTTGATACCTACACGGACGAGGAGGTGTGGAGGTCACTGGAGCTCGCTCACCTTCAAAATTTTGTCTCTAATCTGCCAGACAAAATCAACCATGAATGCTCAGAGGGAGGGGAAAACCTCAGGTAAACAGATGTGACTCCACGTAATGTATATAAAACGCTGACCATTGTTTTTCTAGTGTGTAAACAGACTTCATAGAAGGAATAGCCACATAGAGTTTCATGGTACATACAGGATCAAATCTGACATAATTGTATCCCTCTCCTTTGTATAGTCTGGGTCAGCGCCAGCTAGTGTGCTTGGCAAGGGCCTTGCTGAGAAAAACCAAGATCCTGGTTTTGGACGAGGCGACAGCTGCTGTTGACCTGGAGACAGACGCGCTCATCCAGTCCACAATTCGAACGCAGTTTGAAGACTGCACAGTCCTGACCGTTGCTCACCGCCTCAACACCATCATGGACTACACCAGGTACAACGCTATCTGCTCAGTGGTCCACGTGAAAAAACAAATTTTGAAGTGGTAACAACACAAATCCCACGATTTTAGATGTGAGGTGAGGTGTGAAAAATAAATGCCGGATCTAAAAAAAAACACCCTACACTTTTTTGCCACTTCACAGAGTGATCGTCATGGACAGAGGACACATTTCAGAGATGGACACTCCAGCCAACCTCATCGCACAGCGCGGACAGTTCTACCGAATGTGCCGGGAAGCTGGTCTGATGTAATTTCTCATTGGGCTTTGTACCACGAAGCCGGTGTCCAGGTGTTCAGTTCTGGCTCTACAGCACGGGTAAAATTGTGCAATTCCAACCTCTGCGGCAGCTCAAAGCTCCACGAGGGCATCGCCAATGAATCTGAAGAGCAGCTGCTGACAAAGTCCCTAAATGTTGGTTTTCAACGCACAGTCTGTCCTGAAGACTTTATTATCCTCGGATAATGATCCTTTGGAAGAAATCTACAGTGGTCTCCGAGCTATAAATATTGTATATAAAGTGTTGGAGTCAATTTATTCCAGGAAAAGATAAAGTCCAGAGCTACAAAATAAGACTTAAAGTCACAAATCTAAAGGATTTTTGTTCTCTTTTTTAAGGACGTTATGTTGTTTTTACAGTTTTGTAAGTGGTTTAAAGCATGTGATATATTTTCTATGTTGTCTCAGGCCTTGCTGATGTTTACTTGTTTTTTTTAATTACTTTTTTAGCCTTTTATACCAAGAAAGAGACAATTTTGTAATTGTAAACTGTTACGATTCAATTTCATCTTCTCGCCCCAGAAACTGGGACAGGAAATACTCTGACACACTAACCTTCAGAAATCTGAGCTGGAAGCAGTCCAGGTGGACTTTTTATATGTCTGGGAAAAGAGGAAAACATTGAAGTGAGCCAAGACATAAGCAAATGTCCAACTATTTTGTGGCTGTTGTTTATTTCTGTCAAAGCAAACACATAAAAAAAAGTCCATAGAGACCTTGCTGGTCAGATTCAACCTGACGCGGTACTGCAAACCACCACGAATGAAGAGAATGCCTTTTCAAAACAATGGTGATGAATCTCTGCGGGATTGCCGCTCTGCTTCCACCACACAACTCAGGCCATGTGTAGAGAAGGAAAAAAAACCTGTATTATTCTTATGGTGCTGACATCACAGACTGTAAATAGTCCACGTCGACCTCAATTTCAAAGGAAGAACCCAATGAACTTTTTAAAGAGAAGAGGCATTCACTGTTTTGTCTTACTGGTTTAGACAATATATTATAAGGAATTGTATTTATGTTAAATGACAAAATGTATTAAGCGTCCTTAAGATTTGTATTATATTTATACTTTTCATAACGAGCTTGTTATTTTTTTAACTTTTACCGGTAATGTACTGTCTTGCTGAATAATAAAATTGTATTTGAGTCTACAGTGTCTTTACTATTACCTTACTACTCTTTGCAAATTAGTGCTGAGGGAAAATATTAATAAAATTAACTAAATACTTTGCTCCAGAGGGACCAAAGCATTATTGATTCTCCACATTTTTTTCATAAACCTAACACAATCAAGTCTACGTACTGCGTCTGATCATGGATTGGCCATATTTGGATAGAAGTGGATGTGATTTACTTCTAATCATCATGCAACAAAAAAAACTGCGCCAACGCTCATTTGGGGCATACATGTTGAAGAAAATCCCAATAATAATACGTTTTACTACACTGATTTATTGGAGCGATTGCACGTGGTGTTTGGGGTCTTTTAGTCGAAATGACACAACCACGTCACTAGAGGGCAGACGTTTGTGTTATGAACCTTTACACTTGTTTCAATGGCGACCATCACTGAGCTGAAGTGTGGTAAGCGCTCGCTTTCATTTGTCTACAGATATTTATTATATTCTTGAATCAAACTGGAACAGATAAACGACGGATCGAGTTACTGCACGTGTTAGTTAATCTGTCGGTAGCTCTGGTCCGCTAACGTTAAATCGACGCCGTCGTTTGAATCGGTCTCCATTTAAAATTCCAACAATTGTAAAAGATAAGAGAGGCTTGTGTCCTCTATTGGTCACCTGAAAGTGCTCTGAAGTTATACTAAACTGGTGAAACCTTTATGTAAGTTCGGCCTGTGTGAATGATAGCTATGTGCCACACAGTTCTTGGTTTTCATGGATTTCCCACCCAGCTCGCCGCTGACGTTACCCCGCTACGAGGTCCTCCAGTCGGGGTCACGTTGCGTCCGCTCCGGCAGAAGACATTCGTAGGAATACAATAAATATACATTTTTGAGAATCGAGAATGATGTGATTCATGCCGATTTGAAGGCCAGTTCCTAATGCTTCGGTTACAATATTGAAACACGTGTAAAGAGGTTTGTATTTCTTTTATTAGTTCAGCGCGTTTTAATTTTGCAAAAAGCGACTGGAGCACGGCAATTATCAGACGGCCCATTTTGCGGCCAACAAGTCAACTGAATTCCGACTGTTACCAAGTCACGTCAAAGTCCAGCCGACGCACCGAATACCCAACTTCTCTCTTTGTTTCCTGTCAGCCGTGAGGGACACGCTGGAGTCGCGCGGTGTGATGGGGCAGCTGAAGGCTCGCATCCGGGCGGAGGTGTTCAGCGCCCTGGATGAGCAGCGGGAGCCTCGCCCGCCGCTGCCCCGCGAAAACCTGCTCATCAACGAGCTCATCCGGGACTACCTGGAGTTCAACAAGTACCGGCACACCGCGTCGGTGCTCACTGCAGGTGGTGGTGGTGGTGAATGACTGGCACGTTTTACCGTGGTGTCCCTTAGTATTTACTTAGCTGCTTTGTGTCTTCTCAGAATCGGGCCAGCCTGATGTTCCCTTGGACCGACAGTTCTTGGCGAACGAGCTGAACGTCACAGAGGATGCGAGCTCCAAGTCTGTGTAAGTGCTGTGCGGTCAGCTGTCCACCAACACGCTGTGACTCACTGGGACTATAGTCAGTTATTTTATAACACTTGTGTTCTAACTCGGAGTACAGTACTCAAGGTTTTCTATATGTGCTTGTTTTTGGAAAGCTAAGCACATGAGAGTATTCCAATGAGACCAAAATGATCTGGGTTTTATTCTGGCCCTGGACCTTAATCGTTTCCTACACTCTGTTTGTTAAAATAAATTATGTTTACTAGATAGATATCCTTATTTTTGTGTCATTCACATAATGTGCTCAACCCTCACAGGTTTATAAGACCACACAAATACAGCTGCAGGTTAAATGTCTTCACATGTTATGCACAGGCCTCTCCTCTATGGCCTGATGGCCCACTTTGTGAACAGCGGCGGTCCTGGTGGGAAGGTGTTTCTGCGGGGGGGCTCCCTGCCAGCTGCTACTCCTGCCGGCAACACTGTACCTGGACTGGATGCTTAAAAGTTGATGGACTAAAAAGATGCCTTTGCACACTCTTTGAGTGACAGAATGTTCTTTGTCAGTAGTTTTTCACTGTATTCTCACAGCGTGGACTGTGCAGATATGAATGCAAAACATCTTTGTGTTGATTCATGCTGCAAGTTGCCGATGTTCCCAGATGGCCTTTTTGTTTGGCTTTGAATATCTGGCTGTATCAATAGGTTTGGCATCAGTCGCGCTGTTACTGCTTGCATTAATCCACCGTCTGCATTTTCCCCATAGTTCAGACCAAAAATGTATGATAACATTCCTTGATTTCTTCTGTTTTAATCTACAAATGTTTTATACTCTCGTATTCCCTTAGTTGTCAAATATTAAATGTTTTATATTTTATTTGTGCAAGTGCTATTTATTTGTCGACCACATGGTGGCAGCCTCACCCAAAAAAAAGATGGTGTTCACCCCCATGTGGCAATGTATGTAAAAACTGGGTCCTGTGACTGCCTTAATATAGTGATGTTTTACAACATACATACTGTTAATTCAATAATATGAAGATATGAATTCACATGTTTAAGCAAACGTGTGTCGCTTGTAATCAGAACTGTATTTGCAGTTGAAGTTGGTGCTTTTGAACATTGGCACCCAGGTTTCTAACCTCACTATAAGCTACTTTCCTGTCACTGTCTTAACATTGTGGGACTCCCCGGTGTCTGTAACCGAAAACCGCATTAGGATGTTTTTCTTCTCTGGCTCACATATTTGATGATTCACATGTTTACGCTGTGATAAATAGAAAATCCTGCAGATATTTGTCTGCAGCTGCACACCTGCTGGTCCGCGCCTTTTGCTTCGCTGTCTGCAGCGTAGCGACTGGGGCTGTGGAAGTCGTCGTGACCTTCCTTCAGCAGCTCATAAAAGATACATCAACAGAAGTACATACGATAAAGGAACACCACCAAATGTGTCCCGTCTCCCGCCACAAGCCAATAATATCTGCATCTCACTTCCTTTCTCACCATTTATGGGAGCTTGATGCACTTCGCACACGACTAAAAGCACTGATCCATTTGCAGGCCTCGTTGCTGAAGCTGGGAGCTTTGCGGAATCTGCTCCATGTCTACATTGTTTTTTGTTTTTTTGCAGTACACTTCTTGTCTTCTCTACCATGTCTGCATTGTAGTGGGATTAATGGATGAGATCGTAGCGCTCAGATAAGCTCATTGACAGAATCAGGTCTAAATACGCAGCACGCTGTGTATCTTACTGAATTAACCTTCGCCTCTGATAAGTGTGAGTCTCTGGCTGCAAAGTAACGTAACTATTTGCCATCAGCGAAGATTTTTGCAGTAAGATGTAATACTCACTTAACTTGTGACATCATTTATTTCTTCTTCAGTTCAATTAGAAACAATGAGTTGTGTGCGCTGAGAATGGAGTCACAGCCTCATCTGGGACACTTGATTTAATATTCCTCCCCAGGAGCAAACATGTATTTGCCCTTAAAGGCTTGTTGCCCTGAGGCGCCTAGTTTGTTGGCACCGCATATCATTGTTTCCTTCAAAATGGCTATATAAGCGGAGGAAGGTGAACAATGGTACATGATTGTTCAATTGGCAGGTTGCCCCATAATAGGTAGCACTGTATAAGTCAGTGGTGTGTAAGAGAGACAGCTGTATAAATACTATTGAATGCACTAGTCTTTTGAATGCAGCAGAGTGGACTGATGTTTGCCCCTGGGCTCAAATTAGAAATCAACTGCATTCCACAAGGGTCAAACATATTCATAAACATATTTTCTTTCCAATAGACGGCCATCTATGGACATGAAGGTGAAGAAAAAACGTAAGAGATTTCTGCAATCTCCTGTTGCTTTGATTATGTATTTATTCTACCACATTACATTGAAGGACAGGCCACATGTACGCCGTCAGCTGTTACCATTTTGACTAGTTTAGGTGTGGTGGGGGTAGATAGAGTCATGTGACTTCAGTCATTTGTCTCATGAAGTTACTTGCAAGTGTGCACAGCAGATACATTTAATATTTATTTTAGATTTTAAAAAAGTTAACTGCCCTTCAGCCAGACTTTTTATCCATGTCCTCTCCATCCTCCTCGTGGGTTTACACGTTGCTCTCAGTGAAGAGACTTCTTTGTCTCACCCAGGAGAGGTACCCAGGAGAGGTTAAATCTTCTGGTCAAAGTCTGACTATTTTTTGTCAGCACACAGTGCCCCAACTTTCACATGAACCCCTCCAGTTGTTTTAGATTCCTATCTTCAATTCTTCTCGTTGCACGAACATCCGTATATCACATGAAAGAGAAATTTCAAAGGGACCTAATTTCCGACAGCAGGATTGAACTAATGATCGTGGGGATTAGAGAGGCAGGAGAGTCATACTGACCACAAGAGAAATAAACACCGTATATTCCTCCCCTCAGACGGAAAGAATTGATGAGCCATTCAAAATGTCGCAGGTAAAGAAACAACTTTGTTTGTTTGAACAATGGTGTTGCTGCTGGACCATATTTAGTCACTGGGGCTCGGGGTGCTTGCCTCTGCTAGACTTTGAAAGTTACACACAAAGCGGCCGAGATTCCATACAGACCCCACCGTCCTTATATGGCACAGACTGCAACCCCTCTGTTCAGTGTATCTGCTGCTTTGTCCGCCTCTCTCCTCCTCCTCCTCCTCCTCCTCCCCATCCTCCTCCTCCTTCTTCACCCCTCCCTCTAACTGCCCCGTCTCTCCCCTTCGTTAACGCCACCCCGCCTCCTTGATGTTGGCCAGAGGGAGTCGGCGGTCCTCCATGTTGCTTCTTTCGTCTGCCACTTTCTCATACACACACACACACACACACACACACACACACACACACACACACACAGGCACACACAACAAACACATGCACACACCACCAGCACGGTACCGTGCGTCTGGCATAAAACAGGCCGGCCCGAGGCTAACCAGCAGCTTGATTTATTGGATCAAATAGATCGCTGTCCTTATATAGGAAGTTCCATTTGAAAGGAGCTGGAAACGGGAGGGAGGTGGAGCTGATTGTGATGGTGGAATGCGATGTGCGTGGGATGTACACACATTCATCTGGTAAATGATGAGTTATTTTACGGAGGGGGACCTCTCTGGAGCGGTTACAGTAAAGGGGATTCCTGTGCTGGGGACAGCTTGCCTTATGAGGAGTGGGAACAGATTACATAATCTATATGCAGGGAGCTTGCAGCCTCTCGGTTAGTTTTTGTGTTTCCATCACGTAATTGTGATGCCTTTTAGAAAATTGTTTACATTTTCTTAATCCCTTATTTCACCTCAGATGTCGTTCACTTTATGTTCCTGAATGCAATAAATAAATGACTAATATTTAAGTTTTGATGAGGTTTGACTGAGCATGGAAAAGTGAAGTATTTCATCTACTGGACTTTTTCTCCAGAAGACCCTTTGACACAAATGTTCCTACAATCTGCATGTCGGCTTTCTGTCACATTTTCATGGCTCACGACTCTTGAAAATAACTGAGCCATCGATAAAGTAACTAGTAACCTGCCCTTCTCCCACTATGAAACTAGAGCTACAGAAGTATTACTGTACATAAGTACAAAAAGTACCCATAAGCACAAATAATCATTGCGTTTTATAAATAGGGGATTATTATTGATCGTAAGCAGCATTTCAAGTTGATTTAATTATACTAATTTGTAATTTATGACAGACTATATTCTAATATTAATCTGGAAATAATCTAGCAAACCAGTCAGGTAGAAGTACAAGATGGGAAAGGAGAAACCATTTACAACGACTTTTGTGATTTGGATCAACGTGTTTTCCGCAGGACTCTCTGCCCCATTCAGCGGCTTCACATCCTTCCTGCGGCCGTGCGCACTGCGCATGTCCGCTGCCTCCTCCTCCTCCTCCTGCCCCGGCGGGTGGATGCTCTGCGACGCTGGACGCGGTCCAGCTCGTGCGGCTCCACCCTCGCCCGACCGTGCGCAGTTTAAATGGTAAGACTCGGAGCTCGACGGGGGTCATTTGGACTGTTCGTTTTTGGAGTACCTCGTCCACCGCCCGCTGCTCCAGACGCTGACTTTCCAAACCCAAAGTTCACTCTGAACGCCAATCTCGTTCTTATGTAAGTATTTGTAGGTGGTCGTTTTGCGGGTGATGCTGCAGCGCACTTGTCAAACCGCACTGTGAAAACGTGTTAACTGAAACTGCCTTTGAGGAAGAAAAGTTTACATGCTTTATTTATTTTTCTCTGTGTTTTAAAAGTCGATTTCAATTTGAAGCAAACTTAGTTTAACAGGAATTTGCTTACTTTTTTGTTCAGTTCTTGCATTAGGCTAAACAACTCAGGTGCTCGGGTACCTGCTTAATACATGATGCATTTACTTTGCTAGCACATTTAGTTAATCCAGCACTACATTTGTGTGTTAAATAATGAACTGGCTGTTAAGAGTTCCATGCAACACGCAGTTGACAGCGAGGAAGTTATGGGGATGTTATGTCTGAATATCGCAGTAAAGAAATTGTCTCATTTCAAACCGTGGAGTTTCCTGTTTTCCAAACATGGTCAGAAGACTGAAAAAACAGTTGAGGCTGAAGATGCAAACTTTTGCAGTGAAAACTGACAGTTTGTCACACGTCACCAACGAAACGTTATCAGTTTGGACATAATGTATTTAGCCTTTTCTTAAAACCCTGGTTACCGTTTGTTGTTAGTTCTCGCTATAGTGGCGTTCACCCATGGCAGTAATGTCCAGATTTGCCTCCCTTTTTCTGTCTACATATATAATGTTCATCAGCTCAAAAAAAACCCTCTCCCTGGCTGCCGTAGTTATATTTGAACGGACAGTTGTGTAGTTCTTGGACCTTTTCTCTAAAGGGACCAACCAAGGTGTTGACCAACCAACCTTTATCTGTTTTATTATTTGGGATTGAATTGTTTTCATGCTGTAATCCTAATCGTCTTGAATGTATCATTGAGAAGACGGTCACAGGGACGATGTCTGTGGGACCAGAGAGGAAGCGGGTAAAAGCCTTCACAGGCCCTGCAGGTCAAACTTGTTCCCACACAAATAGAAACAGTCACAATGTCTCTTGGGTGACATTTACACTTGTTTATTATTATTTTAAATAGAGATTCTGAAATAAAGTCATTGTTATTGGACAACGTCATAGATTTGGATCATGTTCTCCTTCTCCGTGTTTGAGAATGGTCGCCAACATCTGACGGCAGCGAGGGATCTAAACAGAAATGTGATGCTTCTTTGAGTCGAGGGAATTATGACTGTGAACACGGAAGTTGTAATGCAGCTTTGAAAGTTTGGTATCGTGGCAAATGATGCATGTGATGCCAAACAGCTTTTACATTTCAGTC